TGATGGATGAAATACTAAACTATACACATTGATCACAAATGAAACTTATCAGATTATAGGTTGAAAAAAAAGAATAATTGGATTAAAATCACCAGTTGAACATTCATTTGAAACTATTTATCCTGTGAGTGGACACCGTTTTTGTGCTATTCTCAGGATTTCTGTGGAACGAAGTGTCATGGCTGGCTGGCTAAACTGACAAGTGCTATTTTTCCGATCGTCTTCACCTGATGGCATTGTACGTGATAACTCCTAGGATTTAGTATATCTGCCCATATATGCGTGAATTCACACAGCCTGCAGCACGACTGAGTGAATATGGTTTTACGCCGCTTTTAGCAATATTCCAGCAATATCAAGGCGTCCCCACCGTCGCACCTGTAACGGTGTAACGAACACCTGGAGATAAGGATATATACAAATGTTTTGTAATTGAAATGCACTGCCATGAATTGGCATAGATGACATGACATCTTCAAGCTGTTAAGTGCTACGTCTGATCAATGCAATGCACAAAGACAATATATATTTGATTAATAACCATTTAGTTTGAAGAAGACCAATTTCGGTCTTTCAGTGCGCAGTCATGTGCAATGTTTTACAGGGCGGACTCCATGCTTGGCACTGTATCTGGTCTTATCGCAATTAAATATCAAAACATCCATTCACATCAGTTTACATCCATTTATATCCGTTTACATCCATTTACATCCGTTTACATCAATTTACACCCGTTATATCAGTTTACATCCGCTTACATTCATTTACATCCGTTTACATCCATTTACATCCATTTACCTGATCGTCTTTCGGTTTTTTTCGATATAAACGATAATATTGATACTGAAATCAATATTTACATGTCTCATCCCATCTTCATGCATAAACTGAAGACAAGGACGTTTGTAGGCCATCTGTGCCGTATTATATTGTCACCAGTCACGCGCCGTAACGTCTCGCATTTCAGATAATTTACAGATGAAGTTTGTGGGCGTTGTTCTTTAAGCTGTCCCAATTGTTATGGCGTGGTGAACAGCGTCAAAGGATACGAATCATGGTGGTATTAAGGGATGACTAGGGGATTTGGTACTTGGTACAGTCGGATAACATCCTCCGAAATCATTATTAAGTTTAGTCTTTATCTTCATCTTTGTGGGGCAGTGGGATAGCCTAGTGGTTAAAGCGTTCGCTCTTCACAGCGAAGACAATGGGTATAATGTGTTAAGCCCATTTCTGGTGTCCCCCGACGTGATATTGCTGGAATATTGCTAAAAGCGGCGTAAAAACTCACTCACTCACTCACTCACTTCACCTTCGTGGTATTTTTGGTCTCAATCCCTGCCCCTGGGCCAGTCTCTGTTTCAGTCCCAGTCCCAGTCTCACCCTTAGTCCCAAACCCTGCCCCTGGGCCGGTCTCTGTTTCAGTCCCAATCTTAGTCTCAACCTTAGTCCCAAGCCCCGCCCCCGGGCCAGTCTCTGTTTCAGTCCCAGTCTCAGTCTCAACCTTAGTCCCAAACCCTGCCCCTTAACCAGTCTCTGTTTCAGGCCCAGTCTTAGTCTCAACCTTAGTCCCAAGCCCTGTCCCTTAGCTAGTCTCTGTTTCAGTCCCAGTCTTAGTCTCAACCTTAGTCCCAAGCCCTGTCCCTTAACCAGTCTCTGTTTCAGTCCCAATCTTAGTCTCAACCTTAGTCCCAAACCCTGTCCCTTAGCCAGTCTCTGTTTCAGGCCCAGTCTCAGTCTCAACCTTAGTCCCAAGCCCTGTCCCTGTGCCAGTCTCTGTTTCAGTCCCAGTCCCAGTCTCAACCTTAGTCCCAAGCCCTGTCCCTTAGCCAGTCTCTCTTTCAGTCCCAGTCTTAGTCTCAGCCTTAGTCCCAAGCCCTGTCCCTTAGCCAGTCTCTGTTTCAGTCCCAGTCTCAGTCTCAACCTGAGTCCCAAGCCCTGTCCCTAAGCCAGTCTCTGTTTCAGTCCCAGTCTTAGTCTCAACCTTAGTCCCAAACCCTGCCCCTGGGCCGGTCTCTGTTTCAGTCCCAGTCTCAGTCTCAACCTGAGTCCCAAGCCCTGTCCCTAAGCCAGTCTCTGTTTCAGTCCCAGTCTCAGTCTCAACCTTAGTCCCAAGCCCTGTCCTTTAGCCAGTCTCTGTTTCAGTCCCAGTCTCACCCTTAGTGCCAAGCCCTACCTCTGAGCCAGTCTCTGTTTCAGGCCCAGTCTTAGTCTCAACCTTAGTCCCAAGCCCTGTCCCTTAGCCAGTCTCTGTTTCAGTCCCAGTCTTAGTCTCAACCTTAGTCCCAAACCCTGTCCCTTAGCCAGTCTCTGTTTCAGTCCCAGTCTCAGTCTCAACCTTAGTCCCAAGCCCTGTCCCTGGGCCGGTCTCTCTTTCAGTCCCAGTCTTAGTCTCAGCCTTAGTCCCAAGCCCTGTCCCTTAGCCAGTCTCTGTTTCAGTCCCAGTCTCAGTCTCAACCTTAGTCCCAAGCCCTGTCCCTTAGCTAGTCTCTGTTTCAGTCCCAGTCTCAGTCTCACCCTTAGTCCTAAGCCCTACCTCTGAGCCAGTCTCTGTTTCAGGCCCAGTCTTAGTCTCAACCTTAGTCCCAAGCCCTGTCCCTTAACCAGTCTCTGTTTCAGTCCCAATCTTAGTCTCAACCTTAGTCCCAAACCCTGTCCCTTAGCCAGTATCTGTTTCAGTCCCAATCTTAGTCTCAACCTTAGTCCCAAACCCTGTCCCTGAGCCAGTCTCTGTTTCAGTCCCAGTCTCACCCTTAGTCCCAAGCCCTACCTCTGAGCTAGTCTCTGTTTCAGGCCCAGTCTTAGTCTCAACCTTAGTCCCAAGCCCTGTCCCTTAGCCAGTCTCTGTTTCAGTCCCAGTCTTAGTCTCAACCTTAGTCCCAAGCCCTGTCCCTTAGCCAGTCTCTGTTTCAGTCCCAATCTTAGTCTCAACCTTAGTCCCAAACCCTGTCCCTTAGCCAGTCTCTGTTTCAGGCCCAGTTCCAGTCTCAACCTTAGTCCCAAGCCCTGTCCCTGTGCCAGTCTCTGTTTCAGTCCCAGTCTCAGTCTCAACCTTAGTCCCAAGCCCTGTCCCTAAGCCAGTCTCTGTTTCAGTCCCAGTCTTAGTCTCAACCTTAGTCCCAAGCCCTGTCCCTTAGCTAGTCTCTGTTTCAGTCCCAGTCTCAGTCTCAACCTGAGTCCCAAGCCCTGTCCTTTAGCCAGTCTCTGTTTCAGTTCCAGTCTCACCCTTAGTGCCAAGCCCTACCTCTGAGCCAGTCTCTGTTTCAGGCCCAGTCTTAGTCTCAACCTTAGTCCCAAGCCCTGTCCCTTAGCCAGTCTCTGTTTCAGTCCCAGTCTTAGTCTCAACCTTAGTCCCAAGCCCTGTCCCTTAACCAGTCTCTGTTTCAGTCCCAATCTTAGTCTCAACCTTAGTCCCAAACCCTGTCCCTAAGCCAGTCTCTGTTTCAGGCCCAGTCTCAGTCTCAACCTTAGTCCCAAGCCCTGTCCCTGGGCCGGTCTCTCTTTCAGTCCCAGTCTTAGTCTCAGCCTTAGTCCCAAGCCCTGTCCCTTAGCCAGTCTCTGTTTCAGTCCCAGTCTCAGTCTCAACCTGAGTCCCAAGCCCTGTCCCTTAGCTAGTCTCTGTTTCAGTCCCAGTCTCAGTCTCACCCTTAGTCCTAAGCCCTACCTCTGAGCCAGTCTCTGTTTCAGGCCCAGTCTTAGTCTCAACCTTAGTCCCAAGCCCTGTCCCTTAGCCAGTCTCTGTTTCAGTCCCAGTCTTAGTCTCAACCTTAATCCCAAACCCTGTCCCTGAGCCAGTCTCTGTTTCAGTCCCAGTCTCACCCTTAGTCCCAAGCCCTACCTCTGAGCCAGTCTCTGTTTCAGGCCCAGTCTTAGTCTCAACCTTAGTCCCAAGCCCTGTCCCTTAGCCAGTCTCTGTTTCAGTCCCAGTCTTAGTCTCAACCTTAGTCCCAAGCCCTGTCCCTTAGCCAGTCTCTGTTTCAGTCCCAATCTTAGTCTCAACCTTAGTCCCAAACCCTGTCCCTTAGCCAGTCTCTGTTTCAGGCCCAGTTCCAGTCTCAACCTTAGTCCCAAGCCCTGTCCCTGTGCCAGTCTCTGTTTCAGTCCCAGTCTCAGTCTCAGTCTCAACCTTAGTCCCAAGCCCTGTCCCTTAGCCAGTCTCTGTTTCAGTCCCAGTCTAAGTTTCAAACTTAGTCCCAATTCCCACACCCAATACAAAACTCGGCCTCTATCTTAGTCGTATTTTCAGTTTTATTTTGAGCTATTTACAGATTCGTCATTTGCCACATAGGGGTGTCATGTCGTTCATTAGCGACACAATTGTTCGTTAAAAGAAGCCATGAAGCATGAAATATAAACAATAGGTCATGGTCTCATCCCTTTCGACCAGAAGTCCGGCTAAATAATTACCTCACTTGAAGCAGTGACCACCGCAGAGATCAATGCATGACCCAGCATACCTTAACGGTTAGCAATGGTTAGAAGTATGTACAGGTTCTCTCTACATCTTATCATATGAGTGAGTGAGTGAGTTGGGTTTAACGCCGTTTTTAACGGTATTCCAGTTATATCACGGCGTGTTAGCTTAATGGGGGAGGAAAGACTGAAGTGATGCAGGTGCACTTTGGTGAAACCCACGAGCACGGGTATGGTGCTGACAAACCTAGAAACATAACCGGGGCGAACCGGGATTCGAACCCACAAGCATAGGTTTCTGATGTGACCAAGAGACGCAACTCTGCACAGCGAATTGCGGCGCCTTAGTCAACTGGGTCACCCGTGCCCCCTTATCATATGAACACTAATCAAGGCACACGTTGACCGACTATAATCTCTAAATCTCCTCCACAACAAACACAAAGCCAAGAATTGTTTGAAACTTTTACCAGCGCTTTCAAATCAATAATAAAAATGTAGGCATGTCCCTATACCTACCCATAGAAAGCCTCTCTGTTATATCCTACGTGGCCTTGTATCAAATTTCACTCAAAGACATTCCAACCCAAGCGCCATTTTGTTCAGGATGGAGCCTCACGTTGTCTTTTCTGTCTGCCTCGGCATTCTGTGTATCTCAGGTAAAACCTTCGTTCATGTCCGGTCATTTAAATGCGATAAATGCATTTATATTGTGGTGTACGTTTTCACATTTTAAGTATATATGTTGCACTTTTGACACAGAATGCAGGTAAATGTTAAGATGTCCATATATGAAGGCTAGAGTTCTCTGCTGATACAAATCGTTTGCACTGACATTTCAGGGACTTTGCTGTAAATAATAGTAACACACTGAAATTGTTGGAAGATATTCCAATAGGGTTGACATCCTAGTTGTTGCAATTTTTGTTCTTGGTAACCGTTACCAGGTATCGACTGTGATAAGTACAGTTGTGAAATATACGTGCTTGGTTCAACATTGTTAATTGCCATCAATGTTGTATTTTTGTTTTGTTCTGTTTTTTATTTTTGTTTAACGCCGCACTCAACAATATTCCAGCTATATGACGGCCGTCTGAAAATAATCCAGTCTGGACAAGAAAATCCTGTGGTTGACACTTTGAGTATCGATTCACAATACTGGGATACGATGACATGCATCAACCAAGTCAGCGAGTCTGACCACCCGATCTTGTTATTCGCGTCTTGCGACAAGCATTGTCGCCTTTCCCGGCACGCATGGGATGCTGAAGACCTATTCTTTACGGGTCGCCATCGATATATATTGCATATAAATGCGTTTACTGCAGTATGGCCCACAGAAATAGAGGCGACAAAGTCTTTTACCTAATTATAACACATTGTTGCCAAATGCTGTGTTGGGGCGGTCGGGTAATCCAGTGGTTAAAGCGTTCGCTCGTCACGCCGTCGACGCCGAAGACCCGGGTTTGATTCCCGACATGGGTACAAAGTGTGAAGCCCATTTCTGGTGTCCCCCGCCGTGATATTGCTGGAATATTCTAAAAGCGGCGTAAAACCATACTCACTCACTCACTCACAAATGCAGTGTTCTTTGTACGATTCCGACTATATCAATATATCACTATCAGACAGTGGTGATACCAGATGTTCGCGGAAAGGTTAGACTGTCCTGCCCTTTCCGGTGTTACAAACACATGCAATACAAGTCAAGATAAGGAGTTGCACAGGACATTGTTCTTGTCACTGATGCGTCAAAGGTAGAAATATCCTCCACACGTCTACCACAAAAATGTTGAAGGCTTTACCAAGATGTTATAAGTTGACAACCGATCTCAAGGGGTACATCAGAAGACGCAAAATGAATTACTTCCCTTTATCCAATGCATTAGGATAAACATCGGTTCATTTCATTCAAAAATACTTACGCGAGATAAACAAGTTACTTAAGGTGTGTTACGATTGATTTCTCAGCGGGGTATATGAGCGGGCTATGTAAGGGGGCTACATCGAAAATAATTGCCGCTCCTTAACCAATCAGAAGCTAAGAGCTTTTTTAAAGAACTACATATCTTTCTTTTTTGAATAATGTCACAATCACAAAATCAGGCCACAGCTGATTCAGTTCATTGATAACTTTAGCAGTAAACTCAGAACCGTTGTCACTCTGGAGAATGCTAGGAGCCCCAAGTAATAGGACAATGTCCAGTAACTGACATGCGACTTCAGAAGCACGTTTGGAGGTAAGCGGTCTCAGCACACAGAACTTAGTAAGGTGATCCAGGTACACCATAATCAATTTTAAATTCCCTTGTCTCATTGACTGCATATCTATTAGATCTACCTGGATTCGGCAGCTGCAGTCTTTGGTAACACTGGGTTTAACTACAGTCCCTTTTGTTGTTGGCCTCTTCCGCTGTCGCTGGCACCCAATACACTAAGACTTGTAGAGAGATAGGGAATTGTGTGTGACGTTTGCATATTTTTGGTTGACTTCCTTGACCATCTTGTCTCTACCACCATGGTCACTAGCAACCTGTACCCTCTTGGGAAAGTCAAAGGTCTCCTCAATGGTCACAAAGTAAATTTTAGTTTCCTGTTCTTGTTGGCGTTATCTAATTAGTTTTTGAACATCACCACACTGAAGTTTTTCAGCGGGCCAGCGGGCGCATTCTTTTGGAGACGCATTAATTTCACGATTTACAGCATTTTAATCTCATATCTATCCTATGTTTGGATTACAGTTAAGATTTATTGTTAAGTTAAGTGAAAGGTATTTGTTATCATGTCAAATAAATTTGTCTTCTCGATTTCTTTTATCAAGTTTGACCATATGAGAGCCTCAAAAGTAATTTCAGGGAATATGTCTAAGAAACTTGATGTTAAATAAGGGAATATGTATAATACCTGAAAAAAATAGGGATTATGTATATTGTACTTCTTGCATTTAAATAAACCTGTCTGTCTGTCTGCCTGCCTGTCTGTCTGTCTGTAATCAAACAGCATGACTAACCGAACCGTGTGATGCATATCACGTCACTTTGGAACTTTTTCATCGATGTGGTAGATACTTTTCATGCCAATTTTCGGGAAATGATTTTTAATTATTTTTGTAAAGCCCAATTGGCCATCACGTGTTACAGTAGATCGAAACATTTTGAACAGCCACGAAACGGTAAAGAAACATAATCAGCTGGATGGTCATGACATCCCAAATATGTCCAGAATTATTGACACGTACAATGATGGGCGAAACATCCGATACAGTCATCCGGAATGTGGAAAATATCAAAACAGCATAAATAGAATATATGATATACATTATTAGAATAATACATATATAAAAGGCATGTAAGAGGATGAGTTATTCTGGTTTGATTGGTGGGGATAATGTTAAACTCTGGCGAGTCACTAACACCTACAGGACATTGTGTCATATATTCAATATAGTGTGTTCGTAAGTTATGTAGCGTAGCAAAACGGAGTACATTTTGTAGTAAATTTCACATTTGTATCCATGTATATTAAGTGGTAGAAACTTATGTCGATCAAGGTTTCTTCACTGAACTGGGGGCACGGGTGCCCCTGTCGTCTAAGGCGCCGCGATTCGCTGTGCAGAGATGCGTCCCTTGGGGACGCCAGAAACCTATGATTGTGGGTCCGAATCCCGGTTCGCCCCGATTATGTTTCTAGGTTTGTCAGCACCATACCCGTGCTCGTGGGTTTCACCGAAGTGGTAAAGGTCTGAGACCTGCATCACTTCGGGCTTTCTTCCCACATTAAGCTGACACGCCGTGATATAACTGGAATACTGTTAAAAGCAGCGTTAAACCCAACTCACTCACTCACTCTTCACTGAACTATCTCCTATCCCAAATCTCGTCATAGTTTCCCTCCCTCACATTCATGCTACTGGAATTTGATACTGGCCATATCAGGTTCCAGCCGGCTGTTAACGGAGACTGGCATGGCTGCAGCCAATCTCTTTTCTAAATTGGCCCTTTACAGTATTAACAGTTATTGTTATATATTTGTATTCACTGAAGGAATCTTTGTTAATGTTTCATGTTCATATTATACCATTTTGCCAAGCCATCATTTTATGTCATATTCGAGTGGTACTCATATTTTACCTGGAGGTAATGTAGCGTAGCAAAACGGAGTATATTTTGTAGTAAATTTCACATAAGGATAAGCATGTTATCTTTATTTTCTGGCGGTTTGAAATGAAATGACGTTTGGGATTATCTGCCCTTGAGCAGAGGTGAAGGTTGGAGAGATAAAAATGTGGCGGCAAAAGAACGGCGTCTTGTTGTCTGCGGTAGCCAGAATAATTACAAGATGTAGAAGACAGGTCCCACAACGCAACAGTTAATACCTTTCGTCGCATCAGCAATCGTTTCACTACATAACTTTTTTGTTTCATACGGATTATATGATGATTACAACATTCGTGTCGGCCATTTTGAAAACGATATAATCACTAGGCAACCTCACCGCCATCATAATGAAAGATGTGTGTATAATTTGACGTAGCAGGTATTAAGGCACATAATTTTGAATGGCATGACATGAGTTATAGAGTATCCTTTTAAGCAGATTTTAGCAATATTCCAGCAATATCCCCGCGGGGTCACCAGAAATTGGCTTCACCCATTGTATCCACGAGGGGAATCGAACTCAGATCTTTGGCGTGACGAGTGAACGCTTTAACCACTAGGCTACTCCACCGCCCAGAGTTTATATGAAACAGGTACTAATTTTGAAAATAAAGAATACCTACAAGCTGATTTCATACATGTCAGGTATATGACATAGTATTTTATGATAATCTTTCCCACAGCAGTTATCAAGTGCGACGGGGACACCAAAATCCACCCATACACGAAGTACCGCTCCCTAGAGATCACCAGAAAGCAGGTCCTCAAGAAGACCATTTTCAACACCGTCTGCAGACCCAAGACACCGGAAAGTAGTGACGAGATTGTCGTCACCGACATGACAGTCGGGTCCAGAGTCGGTCCAGAAGACAAAAGCTTTGAGTTCACCAAGGTCAAGGACAACCACACCTTCCGAAACAAATCTGAACTGCTGGAGTCTACCACCGTTAAGACCCTCAACGAGTGCGTTGGCAAATGCTCCGACAACAAAGGCTGCCTGGCCTATGCGTATGAAGACAATGGCAAGGGATGCAAACTGGCCAAGACCTGTAAACCCTCTCTGTCGCCGGCGGCAGACTCCCAGGTGTTCATGATGTCCTACTGGTATTAGCGTCGTCCAGGTGGATCCTACCCGCCCAGGACACCACACCCTCTCATCCGTTTAGTCAGATGCTTTGGTGATGTAGCGACTGGGGAATACGAATCCCCCTGCTGGTGTGGCTCTACGGGCAACTGTTTAAGCTAGCTCTCACGCTAATGAATGCTCTTTGTTATTAAGATCAGTTGATCTTCTTTTTTCATGCATTTTGCCTGAAACCATTGTGTTATATAAATGTAGATGGCTACTTTTAATACTTTATCTTTATTACATGCCTTTGCTTGATTTTTTGTCTATGTAATGTGTTCATCTTTGTTCTTTGTTAAAGTGTAAGATTGTCTATGGTCAAGACATAGCGGAATATGTTGATGACAATAGAGAATTTCCAGATTTTCATGCTATGTACGAATGACATTTCAATTTTGTTTGAAAAAACCCTGGTCAGACAGTGCAATAACATATGCATTAACATATGCTGCATGTCTGGTGATCCAGATTATAGTCAAACGTCTTGTCACACGCCTTTTTAATCCGTATGTGTGCACACAATCCCTTCCAAAGACACTGGGAGATGGTTCCAACCTTGCTCCAGGTCGGTGGGTCGTTCGAGGCTTGGTCAAGAGAAATACAATAAATGCTGCGTCGATCCGGTGCACATGCCATTGTTAACTGATGCTGTTTAGATGTATAGCTTAGTCTTATTAATGTATATTTATTGCGTCCAGTTCAAGCATTGAATTCTGATGTCCCCCGCCGTGATATTGCTGGAATATTGCTAAAAGCGGCGTAAAACCATACTCACTCACTCACTCAAGCATTGAACTGAATATGACTTGGTAGTCCCCTCGTATTAGTCACACGCCACTTCTCACCCTCCGATTTTGTCACACAGAGGATATGACGTTCCTTTAAGACAAACCTATTGTTGGGTTATGGACTTGGTTCTGTTCTAACAGTCAGGTTTGAAGAAGGTGGGGATCCGTGCAGTCAACCCTGTCCTGTGTTGTAAGGTGTGTGATGGAGTGGAAAACAGCGGGAGATACCAACTTGATGAGTGTTTAAAGAAGGGATGCGCCGTGGCAGAACTCAGAGCATATAAAAAGTATTAAATAAAACAATTACCCCAATCCATGCACGTCCCATTCACAAGTCTCAGCAGCCCCTTTTAAGCCATAAATTAAGACACTTGAGGGTCCTTTAAGCACAAGTGTTCCATCATAAAATTACTTTCAATGAACTTTATTGATTTATGTTATTGTGTAGCAGTAACCTGACAGGTAATGCCATGGTGACGGATGTATGTCAAAGTATATGCAACTGACGCATGTGCATCGTTGTTATACCTGGAAAACATATTGTACGATGTTGATTGTATATATGAATGTGTTCGCTTTCTGTATATCAGTTCTAATGTGTTGAATTCATGTACTTGCATAACGTTCATTTAAATGACAGACGTGGGGTGAGGAAGACTGGCGGTCATGACATCTATTGGATATTTTTTTCAATCTAATTAAAATACATATTTTACTCCGACACGATACCATTCTGCTGATGATCTGTCGACAGCATACAAGGTCGCGTTATGGTAGCTCTGAGCGAACTTTGACCGCTCGATATAAAGGAAGGATGCGTGGGTTCTGGAGCCAATCAGATGGCAGTTTTCTAAAACGATTCGGTACATATTTTTAACCACCTCGATTCGGACATTTCGATTTTAATTAACGAAATCTCTCACACAACACAGATACTCCTTTGATGGTGCTCCAGGTTGGTGTAGATGCCATCGTACAGGTATAAAAGATCTGTTTTCAGTGGGGCTGCTTTGTTATTGACTTCCCGTGTTCATGGGTAATCTCATTCACTGCTATACAACCCGGAAGCCTGCTCGACGACATCTGAACACTCTATTCACTTCACACGTAGCACTGTTTCGGCTTGTGATAAGGAGCTACCGGTTCTCAGGACTGACAGTTTATAGAGATAATCCAATTTTATGAACGAGTGTTAACATATTTGATATCAAAAGACCTTTGGGTGAGATTCTATTTATCATCCAACATCATTCTTCCAACTTTTTCACTTTGTAGACAGTAATGAGCAGTGTCTTATGTGTAAAAAGTACTGCTAACAGCTTCAGCAGCAGAGCCATTAGTGATGTCATTTGATTGTGACGTCATGGTAACAAAGCATTGTGATGCAATTTCATTGCAGCGATGTCTACAATGTAGATATCGCTTGAGTGAGATCAAGCGATATCTCCATTGTAGATATCGCTGCAATGAAATTGCATCACTCAAGCGACGTCTCCTGTGGTAGCCAGTTCTGGATCATAAAAAGATTTATCATCCCAACCTGGCTTCCACAGGAGATATCGCCAGAATGAAATTGCATGACAATGTTTTGAGGCTATTGTGACGTCATCGGTTACCATGACGTCACACACAAATGACATCACTACCCTATGCTGCTGAAGCTGGTTAGCTGTGTTTCTTACACTGACATCAATAATACGTTTTACAGACTGATAAAGCTGGAAGAGTTATTTTGGTGATAAATAGAACTTCACCCGCAGCCTTTTGATAACAAATATATCAACACTCGGCAAGCCTCGGAATTAAAACCTTTATAGACTATATACATTTGATATCAAAAGACACAAGGGTGAGATTCTCTGTATATGGAGGGATGAGGATGTTCTGTATTCCCCGCTATTGTATTATTTTGGAGGGGAAATCTCACAATTCCTTAGTATTGTATTTTGTAAATGCATAAATATATTTGTTTACCTACTCAGCATTACTTTGGCCGCCATGTATGTATTGTAACACACTCGACCAAAACAGACCGTGACTCTCAATAAAGACCCTGCTCTCCACAAAATCTTGTCATCATTTTACATCTTTTAAGTGGTTTTCAGTGAGCTCATAGCGAAACCCCGTTAATCCGACACTACCTACAGTAAATGCTTTTCTCAGGAACTTCGTTTCATTTACAAACGAAACACGCCACTTTTAGCAATATTCTAGCAATATCAGTTTTTCCAGAAATATCGGCGAGACGTCTTCAAATCTTCAATTGAGTTCAAATATGTACAGTGAAACCTTGTCGATCCGGACAGTGACATTCACAGGGAAACCTTGTCAATCCGGACAGTGACATTCACAGGGAAACCTTGTCAATCCGGACAGTGACATTCACAGTGAAACCGTGTCAATCCGGACAGTGACGTTCACAATGATACCTTGTCAATACCGACAGTGACACTCACAGTGAAACCTTGTCATTCCGGACAATGACGTTCACAATGAAACCTTGTCAATCCGGACAGCGATATTCACTGGGAAATCGTCCGGTTGAAACCATTGTGGATTGAGTGATAGATACGTAACGAACTCTCATTATTTGAACCTCTTACTTATTTACATACTTACTTAAAACACATATTTACACACTTAATAAAAGTCGACAAAACCCTTTCCATATTCATAAGAAATCTCTGCTAAAAATAGTCTACTGTACAAATCCGACTATATCATGAGCGTATCGTGCCCGACAAACACACGTAAAGGCAAGTCAACTGTTCACCTGAAAAAAAACACGGAAACATATTGTACATGTCAAAATAGAGAACTGCATGGGACTTCATTCTTTTCACTGAGGCGTCAAATTTGGAATGTCTTCCACATATCTACCATAAACTTTTTGAAAACTTTACTGAAGCCATGAATGTTGCAACCTTGATCAAACAACTTCTGAGTTGCATGGCGCTCTTTGAAAAAGACATAATTACTCTAATACTTACTTCAAACACATACTTACTTATCTACTTAAAACATAAAACTTACATTCTAAAACACACATTCACTTACTTACTTGAAAAACATATTTACTTAACTACTTAAACGATATTCTTACTTACACACTTACTCAAAACACACACACTTACTTACATACTTACTTAAAACACATACTTGCTTACATACTTCAAACATATACTTACTATTTACTTAAAACACACACACTTACTAACATACTTACATAAAACACACACTTACTTACATACATACTTAAAACACACACTTTCTTCAAACATACTTACATACATAATTACTTAAAACACATGCTTACATACATAATTACTTAAAACACATGCTTACAAACATAATTACTTAAAACACATACTTACATACATAATTACTTAAAACACATGCTTACATACATAATTACTTAAAACACATGCTTACATACATAATTACTTAAAACACATACTTACATACATAATTACTTAAAACACATGCTTACATACATAATTACTTAAAACACATGCTTACATACATAATTACTTAAAACACATGCTTACATACATAATTACTTAAAACACATGCTTACATACATAATTACTTAAAACACATGCTTACATACATAATTACTTAAAACACATGCTTACATACATAATTACTTAAAACACATGCTTACATACATAATTACTTAAAACACATGCTTACATACATAATTACTTAAAACACATGCTTACATACATAATTACTTAAAACACATGCTTACATACATAATTACTTAAAACACATGCTTACATACATAATTACTTAAAACACATGCTTACATACATAATTACTTAAAACACATACTTACATACATAATTACTTAACACACATGCTTACATACATAATTACTTAAAACACATGCTTACATACATAATTACTTAAAACACATGCTTACATACATAATCAAAACACATACTTCCTTACATATTTAAAATACCTACTTAATACACATACTTACCGACTAACGGGATCGTGTGGTCAGACTCGCTGACTTGGTTGAAACATGTCATCGATCCCAATTGCATGGATCGATGCTCATGATATCAGTCACAGGATTATCTGGTCCAGACTCGATTATTAACAGACCGCCGTCATATAGCTGGAATATTGCTGAAAACAACAAACCAACCAACCATCTTACAAACTAACTTAAAACACACACTTACTTACATACATACATACATACATACATACATACATACATACATACATACATACATACATACATACATACATACACACACACACACACACACACACACACATACATACATACATACATACATACATACATACATACATACATACATACATAATAAGAACATATTCCTGTTTAAAACACATACTTCCTTACTTAACAAAGACATACACTTATTTACATACTTAAAACAGATACTTACTTAAAATACACACTTACCTACATACATACTGTAAACACATACTTACTTACTTAAAACACACACTTCCTTACAGACTTACTGAAAACACATACTTACATACGTAAAACACATACTAACACACTCACTAAAAACGCACACTTACTTACATACGTACCTATACACATACCATGAACTTACTTACATTCTTAATTAAAACACATACTTACTTACACAGTAACTAAAACACATACTTACATCCTTACTAAAAACAATTACTTACTTACACGCTTAAAACGCATACTTACACATTTACTTACAAACCTAAAACGCATACACACATTTACTTACATGCTTAAAACGCATACTTACACACTTAATAACATACTTAGTACGCATACTTACACTTATTTACATACGTACCTATACACATACTTACTTACATTCCTAATTAAACCACAGACTTACATCCTTACTTATAACACATACATACTGAAAAGAGAAATATGGAAAGTTTCGATGCGCTGAGTCTCATAGATTGATATGTCAAATACAACAAAAGGAAAGAGAAAGCAAATGATACTAGCTATAGTGTACACGGAACTTGGCTGAACCTTTCAGGAAATGTTGCTTATTTCCAGGCGGCTACAAGAGATGTCTATACAATGGTTCCTGGAGGGTTCTTCATTCTCTAATGAGGTTCCATTGTGATATGGAGCACATCTCGGCTTACAAGACAGACTTGTAGGCAAGTTTGAATAGGCAGATATCGATGAAACAAAGTATATTCCGGAACTCATTTGTGGATAACACGGTACATTCTACGACTAATGGCTCCTGTAATGACACTTATCTGATAATCGATGGAAACAAAGCGACAAGTGTTTCCTCCAGGCTTGAACTAGTGCCCCACGGTAGTGTCGAATCGATGGAGAGACAGGAGCTTATAAAACAGTTGTATGTGCTGCACGAACTGATTGAGCTTGGAACATACTGCGGATAGTAATTTTGTTTTAACTTTTACCATTTTCTTTGGTGAAAATGTCAAATCCAATTTTCAAGTGTATACTTTCTTCTGCCCTGCAGTTTATATTGGGTGCCGGTGTCCGGGTGTGCGGGTATACTGAGGTGCAGTTGTACACTTATGCAGGTGTGCAAGTGCATAGATTGAAGGTATACAGGTATGCAGGTGTACAGGTGTGCGGGTATACATATATGCAGGTGTGAAAAAGTACAGGTATGCAGGTGTGAGTGTGTACAGAGTTAAAGATATACAGGTATGCAGGTGTGAAAGTGTACAGGTATGCAGGTGTGAAAGTGTACAGAGGTAAAGATATACAGGTGTGCAGATGTGAAAGTGTACAGGTATGCAGGTGTGGATGTGTACAGAGGTAAGGATATACAGGTATGCAGGTGTGAAAGTGTACAGGTATGTAGGTGTGGAAGTGTACAGAGGTAAAGATATACAGGTGTGCAGGTGTGAAAGTGTACAGGTATGCAGGTGTGGATGTGTACAGAGGTAAGGATATACAGGTATGCAGGTGTGAAAGTGTACAGGTATGCAGGTGTGAAAGTATACAGGTATGCAGGTGTGAAAGTGTACAGAGGTAAATATATTCAGGTATGCAGGTGTGAAAGTATACAGGTATGCAGGTGTGAAAGTATACAGGTATGCAGGTTTGAAAGTGTACAGAGGTAAAGATATACAGGTATGCAGGTGTGAAAGTGTACAGGTATGTAGGTGTGGAAGTGTACAGAGGTAAAGATATTCAGGTATGCAGGTGTGAAAGTGTACAGGTATGCAGGTGTGAAAGTGTACAGAGGTAAAGATATAAAGGTGTGCAGGTGGGAAAGTGTACAGGTATGCAGGTGTGGATGTGTACAGAGGTAAGGATATACAGGTATGCAGGTGTGAAAGTGTACAGGTATGTAGGTGTGGAAGTGTACAGAGGTAAAGATATACAGGTGTGCAGGTGTGAAAGTGTACAGGTATGCAGGTGTGGGTGTGTACAGAGGTAAGGATATACAGGTATGCAGGTGTGAAAGTGTACAGGTATGCAGGTGTGAAAGTATACAGGTATGCAGGTGTGAAAGTGTACAGAGGTAAATATATTCAGGTATGCAGGTGTGAAAGTATACAGGTATGCAGGTGTGAAAGTATACAGGTATGCAGGTTTGAAAGTGTACAGAGGTAAAGATATACAGGTATGCAGGTGTGAAAGTGTACAGGTATGCAGGTGTGGAAGTGTACAGAGGTAAAGATATTCAGGTATGCAGGTGTGAAAGTATACAGGTATGCAGGTGTGGAAGTGTACAGAGGTAAAGATATACAGGTATGCAGGTGTGGAAGTGTACAGGTATGCAGGTGTGGATGTGTACAGAGGTAAGAATATACAGGTGTGCGGGTGTGAAAGTGTACAGAGGTAAACATTTACAGGTATGCAGGTGTGAAAGTGTACAGGTATGCAGGTGTGAAAGTGTACAGAGGTAAACAAATACAGGTATGCAGGTGTACAGGTGTGCAGGTGTACAGGGGTACAGGTGTGCAGAGGTAAACAAATTCAGGTATGCAGGTGTACAGGTATGCAGGTGTACGAACGGGTTTTCTTTCCAGTGGTCCTTCATTGCAACAACATTTTTTTCTGTACAGATAATACTGTATGTTGATTTTAACATATGAGTGCGGCATTTCGAAGCTGTAGTTTCACTACAAGGTATGACTAGTATGGCGTTTCTTTGTTCTTTCAATGCGACGTATCAATAAAGAAGCTAGTGAGCAGCGAGTAGGTTGGGCATGGTCCAATAGCTATGAATACAAAGACACAGATATTTACAACACCAACAAATGATGATCAGGGATGAAGCTTTGGGCCCGACACCAAGGTGTCACGGGTTCAATACGATGGTCTATTACAGTGTTGTTGCAATGGGTTACAGCCATATCCATATACAAGCGACAAAACCCTTTCCACAAACATACGAAATATCTACTAAGAGCAGAGTCTATTTTACGCTCCCGACTATATCATAAGCATGTGTTTATGAATCACTATCAAATAGTTAAGATCAAATTTATTCGCGAAAAGGTTAGCGTTTCCTGTCCTACCGGTGGTACATCACAAACACATGCAAAGGCAAGTCATTAGTTTGCCTGAAACGAACCACGGTAACATTTGGTACATTACATTCATTAACAAAGGAGAGAAACATTTGAAACTGTAAAAGGAAATGAAACCTGAATTGAGTATATGTTGGTTTATGCCTAATGCTTGAAGGTTTACTTACGTAAGATTTCATTGGACAGAATTGATACTTGACGTCTTTTGGTGTGTATGTTTCAATTTTTCTTCATACAAGTATGTCTTTGTATTTATGTCTTTGCATGAACCTTTTTGTATCACACATATTAAGCACCTTTGTCTCAAGCACACGCCGTACCCTATGACTGTAACGATACACCATCCCGACTGACGTTCCGGGTGTGCCAGATTACCTCTGTAATTGGCTGAATTGTTTCTATTAACATTCATACCACCACCCTACAAGAAACTCAACACTCCGGCGATCAGCAACACACTCGGACACGCGCAGCAGTCATATCCTGCCATCGATTAATCTATCGCTCAACCAGGGCTCCTCACTCTGTCTGATACATCATTACGACGAGGTCCAATGCATTAGAAGGAAATCCTGCTTGGCATCAAACATCGAATATGCTTTGGGAGATATTTATTCACGCTCTAGTTCTTGGTGGATTTACAATTCCAGGTAAAATGTGTCATTTATTAATATACTTTTTATTTGTTTGTAGAAGAACGATAGATATGTTGGTTCATATATTGAAAAAATATTCCAAAAAAAGAAACGCATATGTTGGTTTTAAAAAGTTCATCTTGTGTCTTCTACAAGGCTATAGAAGCGATTACAAAGTGAAACACAGTCAAATGAGAAGTCTTTGTTCTTCCTGTCACTATTTCAAACACGGCAGTCATAAAACTTAGTACCGTGTGTCGTGAGTCGAGGTGAAATTGGGTTTAACGTCGCGTCCAAGATTATTGCATTTCTATAGCGACGTGCATGCACGTGTATGTATGTGTGTGGCTGCTTGTACTAGTCCGGACTGATGCCGATTCATAGTGCTAGCTCACTGATATACCATGCCGCAGTGTAACATGAATACCCCACTCAGACACAGTATACTGACTCCGAGCCGACCAGTCCTTGTTTTAGCCCCTTAATGCCGAGCGCCAGACAGGGTAACAACAAGTACCATATTTTAACGTCTCTTGGTATGACGCGGTCGGGGATCGAACCCCGGACCTTCCACTCTCCGGGCGGACGCTCTACCACTAGACCACGGAGGCGGTTAGTACCGTGTGTGTCGTCCAGTGGTGTCAATGACTGCACGACACCTCATGACCATAGAACCAGGTAACCTGCGGATGAAACCTTGCGGAATGGTTGCCCATTCTAGAAATAAAGAAGACCAGTGAGACCGCCTCATCTGTTTCATATTTAGATACATACATAAACATTCAGAGTGTTAAAACGGTCTTCACAAGACTGTATGACAAGAGGGATGACTTCAACCTTCACTTTATGTCGGGCAATATTTCCGCAGCTCCAGCCTTTGGTGTCTACATTTCACTTTGAGGTACAGTCGACCATGTTCTTTCTGACTCTTGCTCAGAAGTCGTTATGGTGGACTTGTGAAGGACATTTTCAAATCAGTGACAAAATTATATCAGATGCGATTCACTATTTTGAGGTGCACCATGTTCTCGTACTTTGTCAGGTGAACAATTGACTTGCCTTTATATGTGTTTGTGACGGATGCCACCGGTGGGGCAGGATACGCTCACTTTTTCTCGAACACCTGGTATCATCACTGTTTGAAAGTGATTCATAAACACATACATATATTCGGAATTGTGCAATAGCAGTCATCCCCACGCGTACGTTTCAAGTATTTCCATAGTGACAAATACTTTATCACACAGCTCGTTCCTCAGTTTTCTCCATTTCCTCACTTTCTATAGCTCCTGTCAAATTCTGGAAAATAGATACAGTTATTAGTATATTGTGTGATTTTCAAATCGTGAATGAAGAACATAATCTTCTGGAAGACACCAAATAATATAATGCAATTTACATGATACCGGTCATATAAGGGTTGGTGCTCTAAGATATAAGTTGGTCGATACTCCACTAACCCTTTATATACACGACATAGAAAACGATTATCTGATGAATGACAAAAGAGTTTTGCTTCCTTCTTTGCATGTGGAATCTCGTTTTACAAATTAATCTCATACCATATGTCAAGGATGTTTACTGAAGTGTGTGATATGAAGCAATATGGCCACATCAGTATCTTGAACGCCTTTCGTTTCTCGGTTTATATAAGATATTCATAATGAGACAGGATATTACAAGGACATCCTGAAAATTGACAAATAAAGATTGATACGGGACATTGACAAAGTCCACTTATATGAAGCATTTGTGTTATTTCTTTGGTTTCTTTGGCGGGAGTATTGATGTGCTGCGTTAGGCAACACACAAACACTTCCTTGTTTATGCAGTTTGTGTGAGCGGTGGGTGTTACCAGAAGGACAATACCTACCCTTTCCGCGAACACTTGGTCATCACTTATTTTTTTCATGCAATTTTCACCACTGCTGTCTTTTACGCGTAATGGAATCTGTTTCAGCAGATAATCGAGACTGATTATTTTACGAAACGGTTAAGCCAGGCGTGTATTATGTGGAGTATGTTGATCGAAGTTGTGTATTTTAACAGACAGAACAAACACTTTTGGAAAAAACAAACAAAATGACTGTCCGTTTGAACAGAACTGATACACATCACCGGAACAGATCACTAACTGGCCATCCGAACAGACAATTGACTGACTAACTGAGCAGACCACTGGCTGTCCATCAGAACAGTCCATTGACTGGTCATCTTAATAGCCCATTAAACGACCATCTGAACAGCCCATTGACTGATCACCTGAACAGCCCCTTTACTGACCATCTGAACAGCCACTTGACTGATCGTTTGAACAGATGTGATATAATTTTGAACAGATAACTGATTGACTATTTGAAAAGACCAGTGGCCAAGTTTCTGAACAGACCGCTGACTGACCATTTGAACAGCCCATAGACCGACTGTTTCCTAGACAGTTGACTGACCATTTGATAAGACCTAATTTAGTGAAACAAAGGTCGACTTTATTGTTTCTATATGAAACACAGAGACTGAATGCTTATGTGTCTACACTTTCTGTTGGCAAACAATCACTGTATCATTCTTTATATCAGTTAGACGTGTTTGTTTTCTTTGGTGCCCGAGGGATCTATACGATACAACGCATTCACTAACCACATCGTAAAGGCACAAGACCATTAGATGACGACTACAAGCACTGAAAACGACCATTCGTAGAGAACAATTAGGTATCTCAATGCCCGAAGATTGAATTATGAATAATTGAAAAGAAAAAATCAAAGTTCATGTGGCAATATTGTAACTTCCCATTGTGGCCATTCCCATGATGTGTTGTGTACAGACGTGTGAGGTCTTGTAGCGACATGATCGCCGTGGTCTAGGGGGGCACGGGTGGCCCAGTCGTCTGAGGCGCCGCGATTCGCTATGCAGAGTTGCGTCCCTTGGGCAAGCCAGAAACCTATGATTGTGGGTTCGTATCCCGGTTCGCCCCGATTATGTTTCTAGGTTTGTCAGCACCATACCCGTGCTCGTGGGTTTCACAGAAGTGGTAAACGTCTGGGACCTGCATCACTTCGGGCTTTCCTCCCACATTAAGCTGACACGCCGCGATATAACTGGAATACTGTTAAAAGCGGTGTTAAACCCAACTCACTCACTCGCCGTGGTCCACAGTATTCCACCCACATATATCATCAGTAAGCATGACGTAAGCTTGTCAACACGAGGGCGAAACGCGATCGAGGTGACCGCGAACTATTCAAGGATAATGGATTAAATGAATGTATTTATGAAGTTTGACCTATTTCGTTTTGTGATTAAATCACATTAAACAAGGCTACACAGGATAATAGGACTTTGGTCTTTTGGTCTTTACTCTATTTGTCGTGAACAAAGGGTATATAACTGAAGTATAATCTTGGTTCAAAGTTTGTTTGTTTCGCTCTTCCATGCTCATTCGGGGCGCCGTATACTTGTATAGTGAGTGAGTATGGTTTTACGCCGCTTTTAGCAATATTCAAGCAATATCACGGCGGGGGACACCAGAAATGGGCTTCACACATTGTATCCATGTCGGGAATCGAACCCGGGTCTTTGGCGTGACGAGCGAACGCTTTAACCACTAGGCTACCCGACCGCCCCTTATACTTGTATAACAACTCGATATTTATCTTCGCGCTGACTGACGTGGCAGGAAAAGGTCAACTTGTGTCACACCCGGCTTTGCTTAGTGAGTTTACATGGGTATTTTCTAAATACATCACAGTTTCCACGGAAAATAATTGAGTAGAGGTATTGTATGATTTCACTGCAACCGTGTACCAACCGATCCCTCAGCATATAATTCGTACAACAAGACAGTCGATCTTAAGAAATATAAGCTAAAAAATTATGTCCATAATTATGAGAAATCTAAAAACTAAAAAATGAGTCGGTTGTACGGTTTCGGTTACGTCATAGGCATGTGTTAATGATTCACTATCAAATAGTTCCAGGTTCCAAAAGGTGATCATATCCTGCTCCATTAGTAGTAGCCGACACACCAAATTGTTGTGAAATGTTAACGCCAAAGGCTGAGCTGCTGGAATATTGCAAAAAGGGCAAGTTGACAATTGGAAAGTTGAAGTCATCCTTCTTGTCATACAGTCTTGTGGAGAGTTCTTTGTCTCTCTGAAACTTTATGCATGGATCTAAATATGAAGCAGATTAAGCAGTTTTACTGGTCTCTTTTATTTCAAGTTCGGGGGGGGGGGGGGGGGGGGGGGGTCCGTGGAAGAGGATTGGCTATTTGATAATTATGGAACGATAACAGATCATCGATTTACCTGAAGCTTAAGTTAAACTTCTTGGTGAAATTCCCTTGTCGTATCCAATACGAGCCGAAATCCCGATTCTAACGCAGAAAGATCGGCAAGGACGGTGGCGCAGTTTTTGCCCATGTGGATGCCCACGTTTGGCCCAAATGTCCTATCCAAAAATTTCATATCGACATATCGATAAAGGATCACTCGGTGTTACTCATATTGATAAAGGATCACTCGGTGTTACAGACATATTGGTAGAGGATCACTCAGTGTTACAGTCATATTGATAGAGGATCACTCAGTGTTACAGTTATATTGATAAAGGATCACTCGGTGTTACAGGCATATTGATAGAGGATCACTCGGTGTTATTCATATTGAAAAAGGATCACTCGGTGTTACAGACATATTGATAGAAGATCACTCGGTGTTATTCATATTGATAAAGGATCACTCGGTGTTACAGACATATTGATAGAGGATCACTCGGTGTTATTCATATTGATAAAGGATCACTCGGTGTTACAGTCATGTTGATAAAGGATCACACAGCGCTATAGGGCGAGACCAATATCGAGGACCAGCCAATCAAATCGATGAGCCATTGTGAGCATTATCTAGAAAAGGTGAAGTGAGGTGAAATGGGGTTCAACGTCGCGTTCGAGATTGTTGCATTTATACAGCGACGTACGTGTGTGTGTGTGTGTGTGTGTGTGTGTGTGTGTGTGTGTGTGTGTGTGTGTGTGTGTGTGTGTGTCTGTCTGTCTGTCTGTGTGTGTCTGTGTGTGTCTGTGTCTGTGTCTGTGTCTGCCTGTGCTAGTCCGGTTTTATATTGCTAGCAAATGCAAAACTAATTTAACTATTCTCATTCCACTGGAAAAAATGTTTTGTTTTTTTTCAGATGAGGGACGGTCGGGTAGCCTAGTAGTTACAGTGTTCGCTCCCGACATAGGTACAATGTCTGAAGCCCATTTCTGGTGTCCTCCGCCGTGATATTACTGGAATATTGCTAAAAGCAGTGTGAAACCATACTCACTCACTCACTCTTTTCAGATAATGTCCACGGCCAAGAGATTGACTGTGAAACCTACGTATTGAGAACGGACGTCCCTCGCATACAGAAAATCTACCGTTGCCTTAGCGGACCTAAAAGTGGACCAAAACTTGTTCTCCATCAAGTATGTCCTCTGGTGAAGATGCCTTCCTCTGTTATTCAACTGGATACATCAACTCAGGACATCCGCCCTGTGATGGATGACGTCATCTACCAGTTCCAGATCATTGGGAATCAGTCGACCGTGGCCAGTGACGTCATCAGCACTGTCACTGGTCTGTCATTGCATGACTGCAGCGTGACGTGCACAGGAAACCCATCCTGCATGTCCTTCGCGCATGCAGTAGATGGCACGTGTGTGTTGGCCAGAGCATGCAAGCCGTCTATGACAGCTCAAGAGGGTTTCTCCGTCTACGATATGGCTTACTGGTACCAAGACTGACGGGGCCGGAGTCTTCATGTTTAGATTTCTGTTGAAACACATGTGTGAGTTGCTAGGAAACACCACGGTCCGGGTATTTATATATGTTTGATATGCGATGTCTCTCATATGATTCTAATGTACTTTGTATGATGTTGCCAGGCCCTTATGATACGCAGGATTCAGGGTGTATGTAGGGGGTATTGGGGACTCAGCAGTGTTGCAGATAAAATCGTAATTAGTAAGCATTTTCAACATTTATGAGGACAAAAACATCTGTGACCGTACATGTTTCATTTATACATATTATGTTAATTAATCTAACTTCAAATCACACCATTCTATGACCTAGGAATGTGTTCTAGCCTATAGGTTTTCATTCTGCCTTTGAAGGGGCGGTTGGGTAGCCTAGTGGTTAAAGCGGTCGCTCGTCACGCCGAAGACCCGGGTTCGATTCCCGACCTGGGTACAACGTGTAAGGTCCATTTCTGGTGTCCCCCGTCGTGATATTGTCCTTTTGACATTGTGTTAAGTTGTGTGTTTGTTGTTTAACTCCGCACTCAGCAATATTCCAGTTATATGACCAGACAATCCAGTGATCGATATCATCAGCATCGATCCACGCAATTGGGCTACGATGACATGCATCAACCAAGTCAGCGAGTCTGACCACCCGATCCCGTTAGTCGCCTCTTACGACAAGCATGGGATGCTGGGGACCTCTCCTACCCATAGTATTCGGGATTCAGGAATGAACAAATGAGACTCTGAGTGAACATAAGATGTATTCGGGATCAAGGGAAGGGTATTTGCCATATGCTACTGATGTGTATGTTATTATACAGCCCATTTGCTCTAATGGTGACGTATGCTGTTTTTTAATTGACTTAAAAAATAAAAAATAAAACAACCGGTGTGCACACTAAGTATATCCGCTTCACAAATTGAAGTCAATTCTCATAAATAAAGACGTCATAATAATAACTTCACAAACCGCTTATTTAATGGTTAACACTAAAACCGTAGACAACAATACGAAAATCGGTGACATCTTTCAGCACAACAGCACAACCTGAGCCCTGCCCACCCTATTATCAGCCAATCAGAAAACAGTAGTCCGTCACTGGGCGTGGCCTTAAAAACATGCGAGGAAAACAAATTGCTAGGTTAGCAACGCAAAATGCGATGGAATCACTTGCAATGTATTAATAATGCCATTGTTCGTTGTCGATGCCGAGGAATCACAGAACTTACAGACCAGATGAATCTCTACCTGGTGTTTACAGCTGCGACTGGGGATAAACAGTTTAAGATGTTGCTTCATTGTTAGTTTCATTCACAGAGGCCTGAGGCCCGTTTCACAAAGCGAACTTAGCGCTACGACTGTCGTTAGTCTACGTTAAAGAATGGATGTGACGATCGTCTTAGTGTTAAAATCTGTCTGGCTCTACATGCCTTATTATCTCAAATATCCGGATATCTCGAAGTTACAAATATCCGTATATCTCGAAGTTACAAATATCCGTATATCTCGAAGTTAGAAATATCCGTATATCTCGAAGTTAGAAATATCCGTATATCTCGAAGTACCAAATATCCGTATATCTCGAAGTTACAACACGGCCCAGATTCGTCCCACACACCGGGGTCCGACTGTATTTGTTATTCTATAATACATCTGCTATAGTGCAATTCATCTGCTATGCTACAATATTTCTGTGTTGCGCCACCGATGAACTGGTCACAATGGAATGTGTGGATCTTTAACTGGCGTTTAGAAGCTGAAGAACCAAGAAGACAATGCCTGTGGATTTCAAAGAGAAGTTGAAATGCTTAATTTCTCTCTCTTGCTACAATGTATCCGTTATGCTACAATGTATATATTATTCTACGGTGTATATGTTATGCTACAGTGTATATGTTATGCTATTGTGTATATGTTATGCTATAGTGTATACGTCATGCTAAAATGTATATGTCATACTACAATATATATTTCATGCTACAATGTATGTAAGTTACAGTGAATATATTATGCTACAATGTATATGTTATGCTACAATGTATATGTTATGCTACAATTTATATGGTGATTCTTTCATATTGCTTTAGTTAATCTGTCGAGGCGATTCTTTCATATTACTATAGTTAATCTGTCATGGCTATTCTTATTTATTATATACATATGAATGAAATACTGGAACTTATCAGTGACGATAGATCAAGTTATCAGTCACTAGCGACTGACATAAACAAGGTGCCGGAACTACTTTCTCCTGAATCAAAACATTAAAGAGTTATCCATTTTAAACAGGCATGTTTAATTATGACAAACTAAAATGTCCATGAAACTTAATACTCGATATGAAATAATATATTTCGCATAACATATATTAACAGGGCTAGTTTTTTTCACGAACTATATTCTTTTCGCAAATCCCCTTTATACGGCGGTGGTAAAGGGGCGACAGGGAGAACTTAGTAATTTATCAGACACTGTTTTCGAATAAACATATAAATTGCAAGTAATAAAAATAAAACATGTATATAATAATTGAAAATGTGTTTTCTCAAATACCACTTTTATCAATTATTCTCATCTGGTGAATTGGGTAGAGTCTAATATTTCCACTCGTGACTGCGTCACTCGTGAAAATATTAGACTCTCCCCACTTCACTCGATGAGATAAAAGTGGTATTTGAGAAAACACATTAAATATCCTTTATATATATTACTTAAGTTAATCAGTCATGACAATTCTTTCACATTTCTATAGTTAATCTGTCGTGGTGATTCTTTCACATTTCTACAGTTAATATGTCGTGGCGATTCTTTCACATTTCTATAGTTAATCTGTCGTGGTGATTCTTTCACATTTCTACAGTTAATCTGTCGTGGTGATTCTTTCACATTTCTATGGTTTATATGTCGTGGTGATTCTTTCACATTTCTACAGTTAATATGTCGTGGCGATTCTTTCACATTTCTATAGTTAATCTGTCGTGGCGATTCTTTCACATTTCTATGGTTTATATGTCATGGCGATTCTTTCACATTTCTATGGTTTATATGTCATGGCGATTCTTTCACATTTCTATGGTTAATATGTCGTGGCGATTCTTTCACATTTCTATGGTTTATATGTCATGGCGATTCTTTCACATTTCTATGGTTAATATGTCGTGGTGATTCTTTCACATTTCTATAGTTAATCTGTCGTGGCGATACTTTCACATTTCTATAGTTAATATGTCGTGGTGATTCTTTCACATTTCTATAGTTAATCTGTCGTGGTGATTCTTTCACATTTCTATGGTTAATCTGTCATGGCGATTCTTTCACATTTCTATAGTTAATCTGTCGTGGCGATTCTTTCACATTTCTATAGTTAATCTGTCGTGGTGATTCTTTCACATTTCTATGGTTAATCTGTCATGGCGATTCTTTCACATTTCTATAGTTAATCTGTCATGGCGATTCTTTCACATTTCTATAGTTAATCTGTCATGGCGATTCTTTCACATTTCTATAGTTAATCTGTCGTGGCGATTCTTTCATATTACTATAGTTAATCTGCCATTGCGATGAGTATTACATTTATGTACTACAGTGCCGCGTGGCTTGAATCAGTAGTTCTCGTGAATGCAGTCATACATATTGTCCCATATGTTGCACTTAGATCAGATATGAGGTACATACCTCATTGAGGTAATGCGTCTGACCTTCACTCAAGCAGGTCACCGGATGAGGTGCTTCAGATTGTGGGTTGCGTGGAGTCCATTAATTGAGTCAGTGGCACGATAAGATAAAACGTTGCAGTTTTACTCGTGCGTTAACTTTAATGTGTCAGTTCTGTTTATGTGTCTTGTAAGTTGTGGACGGCCATGACGACTTTCTAAAACACACCCACCCAACATACCCCTACTCTTATCTGTCCTATATGCCACATTGTGTCACCCCTAGGCCTTCCCTCCATCCGCCCTCGTGGAAAATCCCAGGGCAGAATATTTTTTCGTTGTCCCTCTTGAACCACGGGATCATACGCAATAACTCACTTGACTTCTTACAATGATCACGTGACGTCTGTGTAGATTTCTTAAGGCCTGTCAACGTGCATTGAAATTGAAAACCTGTTACACCAGTTGGTTACAGTACATTGGAAATTCTGAAAACTGATATACGGCTATATTTTGACTTCAGTGAGTGAGTGAGTGAGTGAGTGAGTGGGTGGGTGGGTGGACGAGTGAGTGAGTGAGTGAGGGAGTGAGTGAGTGAGTGAGTGAGTGAGTGGGTGAGTGAGTGAGTGAGTGAGTGGGTGAGTGAGTGAGTGAGTGAGTGAGTGAGTGAGTGAGTGAGTGGGTGGGTGGGTGAGTGAGTGAGTGAGTGAGTGAGTGAGTGAGTGAGTGAGTGGGTGGGTAGACGAGTGAGTGAGTGAGTGAGTGAGTGAGTGAGTGGGTGGGTGGGTGGGTGGACGAGTGAGTGAGTGAGTGAGTGAGTGAGTGAGTGAGTGAGTGAGTGAGTGGGTGGGTGAGTGAGTGAGTGAGTGAGTGAGTGAGTGAGTGAGTGAGTGAGTGAATGAGTTGGTGGGTAGACGAGTGAGTGAGTGAGTGAGTGAATGAGTGAGTGAGATGCAGGGCTTAGGACAACTTAGCATATACCCCATGTCATCTCTTATGGTTGATGCATGTCATCGCCGCACTCAGCAATATTCCAGCTGTATGATGGCGGTCTGTACATAATCGAGTCTGGACCAGACAATCCAGTGATTGACATCTTGGGCATCGATCCACACAACTGGGATACGATGACATGCATCAACCAAGTCAGTGAGCCTGACCACCCGATCTCGTTAGTCGCCTCTTACGACAAGCATAGTCGCCTTTTACGGCAAGCATGGGTTGCTGAGGACCTATTCTACCCCGGATCTTCACGGCAAGCATGGGTTGCTGAAGACCTATTCTACCCCGGATCTTCACGGGCCTCCATCATATGTAGCACTACAAATGTATCAGGTTTTTGTATTACCGTCAATATGTATTTCGTTAAAGCACTTTATGGTGTTATCTTTGTAACAGACATGTATTATGTGATAAATACATGTTATATAATTTGTGTATACGCCGTCTTGTATGTTATGTACATTGGCGGTATTATCATGTATGCCCACATACCACCGATGGTGATTGGTTTTAGAATAAACCATATCATAATCGTTTGTTTGTTTAATGCCGAATTCAGCAATATTCCAGGTGTGTGACGGCGGCTTGTTAATAATCCAGTCTGGACGAGACGACCCAGCGTTTGGTATAAAGAGCAACGATCAACGCCGTCGGGTACGTTGACGGGTTATTGACCACGTCAAATTGTCTGATCGTACGTCAAACTGTCTGATCGTACGTTAAACTGTCGCCTCGTACGTCAAACTGTCTGATCGTACGTCAAACTGTCGCCTCGTCCGTCAAACTGTCGCCTCGTCCGTCAAACTGTCTGATCGCACGTCAAACTGTCTGATCGTACGTCAAACTGACTGATTGTACGTCAAACTGTCTGATCGTACGTCAAACTGTCGCCTCGTCCATCAAACTGTCTTATCGTACGTCAAACTGTCTGATCGTATGTCATACTGTCTGATTGAACGTCATACTGTCTGATCGTACGTCAAACTGACTGATTGTACGTCAAACTGTCTGATCGTACGTCAAACTGTCGCCTCGTCCATCAAACTGTCTTATCGTACGTCAAACTGTCTGATCGTACGTCATACTGTCTGATTGAACGTCATACTGTCTGATCGTACGTCAAACTGACTGATTGTACGTCAAACTGTCTGATCGTACGTCAAACTGTCGCCTCGTCCATCAAACTGTCTGATCGTACGTCAAACTGTCTGATCGTACGTCATACTGTCTGATTGTACGTCATACTGTCTGATCGTACGTCAAACTGACTGATTGTTACGTCAAACTGTCTAATCGTACGTCAGACTGTCTGATCGTACGTCATACTGTCTGATCGTACGTCATACTGTCTGATTGTACGTCAAACTGTCTGATCGTACGTCAAACTGTCGCCTCGTACGTCAAACTGTCGCCTCGTACGTCAAACTGTCGCCTCGTACGTCAAGTTGTCTGATCGTACGTCATGCATGAGGTTGCTGCGGACCAGTTCTAACCAGCAGTCACCACTGCCACAGTAAGACTGTGTGTACTACTTCCGAAGCTGTAAACAGCAGTTCACCGCTTCTCCCTTACTTGCAGTGTTTCTAAATCACCAACAGTAATTAACGAATTAAACTCATCAGATAGACAGTTTTGTTTGTCTGTTGTTTGACGCCGCACTCAGCAATATTCCAGGGATATGAAGGCAGCCTGTGAAAAGCATCGTGTCTGGACCAAACAATCCAGTGATTGACATTATGAGCATCGATTAAAAGGCAATTGGGATACGATGATATGCATCAACCAAGTAAGCGAGCCTGGTGGGTGGTGACCTATATTCAAAGCAAGGGGTGCTGGAGATCGTTAGCCAGTCGGCCCCAAGAGCACCACACTGTTATATTGTAAGAACTTTTGAATTGTCGCAACACTTGTTTTCCTTGATTCCGAGGTGTGCATGTATTATAATCACACAGCACGCTCACGTGTGGAGTCTTTGAGAGCATATGGGGAGTGAGTGTGAACGCTTCGGTTCTTGAGACTACACGCGACAAGGAGGCATTATATACTATGATGAAAAAAGGTAGGGGATATTTTGTTTTGAGGTGAAACCACGGGAACATGCACCAATGTCTGGCAGTGAAAGTAAGTGATTTATGTGGCAAAAACATTTCCAAAGAGATCAAGCTCGCAAACACAACATTGTAACAGTCATGAAGGACGTCACCTCGGACAGCAGTGCAATGGTCGTATGCCAGATTTACCATTCACGGAGACTCGGTTGTGAGTGAGTGAGTGAGTATGGTATTACGCCGCTTTTAGCAATATTCCACCAAAATCACGGCGGGGGACACCAGAAATGGGCTTCACACATTGTACCCATGTCGGGAATCGAACCCGGGTCTTCGGCGTGACGAGCGAACGCTTAAACCACTAGGCTACCCGACCGCCCCGACTCGGTTGTGAGCAGACGTATATTGTTATCTTGGAACCAAACGCTCAGTGACACTTTATTAAACACATTTAATCATTTAGAAAGCAACATCATGAGCTTCTAACATTAAGAATATTTTGTATTTATATGGTTTTGGTTTTGTATGGGAAAATCAATCTGTTGGTCACACTGATTTATTTATATGTGAGTTTTCACAAAGAGTTAAAGATTGTTATATACAAACATGGCATTCACAAGTTAATGATTATAAACATTTAGAATTTTATTCGTCACTCAAAACAGCATTTGTTATTGAACTGTATATTTTAAAAATCACTTGTAAAGAACTAAGAAGAATGTTAACACTATTAAGAATTGGAGAATCAAATATCATGGTGAATATTGGAAGAAAAAGTAATATTGATATTAATTTTAGATGTTGTCCTTTTTGTAAGAACATCATTGAAACTAAATTACATTTTATACTATCATGTCCATTATATGATGATATCAGACAGAAACACATTCCAAATATATATTGTAAATCTCAGTTATTTAAGCATATATAAGCTCAGGCAAACTAACTGATTTACTTCAATGCTGTAAATATATTAAAGAGGCTATTGTATTACGTTCATCCCATTTGTAATACTTGTTTAATGTTGCACCAATATGTATATTCTATATGTCAATATTTATTTGTACATGGGCCTGTGGCCTTTATACTGAATAAAGAAATTGAATTGAATTGAACATTGGTCATGCGACGTTTGCAACGAGCTGAGTGTTGACTTGCCATAGGTATAACCGTTGCAGGTGGACACACAATAGAATATTGTTGTCTAAACGCTGCATGTTTCTCAATCTGTCATCAGCAGATTGTGGATCCGATACCAACAAACATTCCACATTGGTACAATGTGTGACGCCCATTGCTGGTGTCCCCTGCCCTGATATTGCTGGAATATTGCTAAAAGTGGCGTAAAACCATACTCACTATAACTCATCATAACAAAACTTTAACGTTGATGAGTTAACACTTGAAGGAAACAGTGGCGATTACACTAATTACTTAGAAGCTTAGGTATACTATGTCTCGTAGTGTTTGTAGTGTGACCTTTTCTTTTCGTAATCCTTCCCATTCGACACTGCCGGGAAGCCCATTGGAAATTCCAGGAAATTCATGGGTTTTTCCAAGAAGTTAACCCACGGTTCTGATAGAGGAGAGTCCATTTAACAGAAGGGGGTGTGGGGGGGTGGAGGAGGTTTCTAATATTGCAGTCAGCTGTTTATGACCGACACAGTCCAAAGCAAGCACGTCGACAAACGTTTTATCAGAAAGAATCCCAATCAACACACGCAGTGGGAACAGGTTCACATGTGTGTTTAAGTTTCATCATATAAACAACCCGACCTGACACCCCTGCGAGATTGCATGACACGTCGTCTGCCTTGCAGTTACAGCACAACTCGCAGACGAGCACCTGACAGTCTCCGACAGGCTCAGAAAGAAGGCACAAGAAACAAATGTGAATCTAACAGTCAGAAATATTCATCAGTTGTCGCCGATACTTGCCAGGTAAGTGACGGATGTCGCTACAGACTACAGTGTACGTACACCACTGTAGCTGGGACACCTCTCTCGGTGTGCATCGTTGGGGCGGGGTGACATTATCGATCCCCAGACCGTGCGTGGTGTGATCGCGGTGGCTGCAATGTTACGTGTACAATTGGCTGCAAGGGGAGGGTGGCTGATGGATAATGCTAAAGCAAATCTAGTATAGTCCGGAAACCCCGCCTTCCGGACAACAACCGTTGGTAACGTCCACCAAAGGAACGTGTTGATGGTTCGTTAATCCGGACATCTAGCATTACGGTACATGGGCGGATACAGCTTTTTGAAAAGGGGGGGATGCACAATTAAGATCTATTTATCTTTGGTGGTAATTTATACAGAAATAAAGATTTTTTTTGAAAAAAAGGGGGGGTGCGCACCTCTGTATCCGCCCATGCGGTATATCATGGGAACAGCACCGATGTCCACATAAACGAAGTTTCGCTGTACACACGTTTACATTTGAACAATAAGGGGAGTAACTCTTTGGATATAGTCACAAGAAGATATCTCATATTAATATAATAAATAAAATATTGAACTTGTTATGGGGTAGCAGTTCATTCCCCCCTCACCCCTTGAAGCGAGCGAGATAAGGCATTAGTCATTTCATGCGGGGTGGGGGTGGGGTAGACAGCTTGGTTGATAAGGGGTCGGAGATAGTACTTTAGAAAATGTATGTGCAGATCGATCGAGTTACTGTGTAAAATTAACATTCCAATATTGACCCGATAGAAGGCTCCAAAGACGTTTAGTCTGGGAAATAGCATTAGGAAAAAACTAAATTTAGAAGATCGAAATCTATTGTGTCATAAAAGTTTCCATAATCTACTTATAAGCTTCTTGCAAAGTCACGTAATATGATACCCTTTGATCACCCACACCCAAGCCGCGTAGCTGGATCGCGTGGAGCACCAACATGCACGTCACCCGCCATTGCGCGATGTGGTAAACGCAGCGCAGTGAGTTAGGATTGTCATCAACTTGAAACGAAAGCGAGGAAACAGAAACATGGCGGTTGTAAGATATATTCATAAGACGGAATGACGCACGTGGAAAGTGAAATTGGTACGAGCGTTATAATCAGGTTAGGACTATATTTATATGCTTTCCTTTAGTAATTGGTTAATATATATCCTTTTCATTATAACAATCGTTGCTGACGGGTTCGTTTTCTACTGTGCAGTGATGCAGGTATGATGTAATTTGCATATATCATGTTTATTTTTTTTTAAACTTTTGTAAACTTGTGTAAAATATGTCTAGATATATTTACTACTGAGTTGGAGGTTAAGGCACTTTGCTTAATTCCAAACTTGTCCAAGTGACAAGACAATTTATAATACCACCCTTATCGGGCCATATAACACTTTCATTGGCAGCTTTTTTGAAACAATGTTGCCATTATTATCATATGGCAGTACCATTTCGCATTTCTATTATTGACTGTAAACAATAGGAATCCCAGTTCAGCTCTGTAGACGAAATTTTGTGTTTTCTGAAAAAAAATCCACTTAACATGATTGCTAAATTTTACCTGTATTTTTTAAGGTGCAAACATATCTATTTGCTTCAAGACAGTTGATTATGTACCCATATGTAACAATTATAAATAAATCCATAATTGGCTTAAAAGAGTTGCAGGTTACATAAGCCAAATCTTACCACAGGAGGGTGAAACAAGGGCAAGTGGTTCATTCTCTGTCCCTCTCTTACAGAAAGGCTTAACTGTATTGCTTAAATCTAGACTTTGATGGTAGACAGTTCCAAAATAGGTATATCTGTCTGACATTTTCATATCATGTCCGGCTACTGACAACTTCAATCTGTAGCCATCACAAAAATAACAACATCTGTCTTTTCATTCTTGTAGTTGTCAGTGCAAACAGGAGAGACATTACTTGGTTGTTGTTTATCCAGCTTGATAATGGTGTAAGAATCTACACTGAAATGTAGCTACTTGCAATATACCAGAACTTGTTATCCATAAAGTTGTACGTTTTCTTAGAAAAGAGACATTCCTGTGGTTTATCCGGTAAAACAGATCGAAGTATCAGGTCGTTGCTGGAGTAAGTGAGTGAGTGAGTGAGTATGGTTTTACGCCGCTTTTAGCAATATTCCATCAATATCACGGCTGGGGGACACCAGAAATGGGCTTCACACATTGTACCCATGTCGGGAATCGAACCCGGGTCTTCTGCGTGACGGGCGAACGCTTTAACCACTAGGCTACCCAGCCGCCCCTGGTCGTTACTGGAACGTAGATGGCATATAGCAGGTGAGAACCGATTATCATATTGTTGAACTATTTTTATATTTTCTAAATACTTTTAAAGCATGTGTTCTCAGTGACAGTTCAGAACACAAATATCATATGGATTCAACAGCACAACTGTCATAGAAGCTGTGTCGAATATAATTAGTTACAACTATGTGCAAAGTTATTATACATGTACCATACACATACATATATATGTGTGTACTCTATGAAAAGACCCTATACTCTACCCAGTCAATTATTCTCAGGAGAAAAATAAATTCTTTGACTGCCCTAATGTTGTACCATTGGTTAGAGATAACTGCTGGTTTGTCAGGGTTTACACGGAGGAAACCTCTTATCCTGGAATTAAAAGCGATCAGGGCAATGCGATTTCTAGAAGAATTTGTTTAGATTTTATTTGTTTCTACATGTCTGTCCACAAGTATGAATTGTGTGTGTTTGTGTTTTATTAACAACTTTGCAAATATTTTCAAATGCCGGTAAATATGCATACTACTTTCAAAATTTCGTAAATTAATTTATAAGAATCACTATTTCTCAAAAATAATACAAACCCGATCTTGTAGGTGTCGTGTAGTTTGATTGTTCTTTCATGATATGAAAGCGGTCAATACAACAAAACTGAGGGTTCATTACCAATGTGTGAATCGCATTCTTGGTGTCCCTCGCTGAATCGCATTCTTGGTGTCCCTCGCTGAATCGCATTCTTGGTGTCCCTCGCTGAATCGCATTCTTGGTGTCCCTCGCTGAATCGCATTCTTGGTGTCCCTCGCTGAATCGCATTCTTGGTGTCCCTCGCTGATGTTGTTTAGGCAGGTCGAACTCTCTCACCTATTTTGTAGCTCAAGGAAACCTCTGCATTAATTCTTGGGAAAATCCCAGGTTATTGTTGGTCCCCAGCAGCCAGTGCTTGTGGAGTTAAACCCAAATCACTCAAATCCTAGTTTCGACTTTGGTATGTTTCTTGGTTTCTCTTGTTTTTCACCGAAGTGGCATCGTCTCATATGAAGCTCACAAATACTGTTTGAAGCAGCGTCAAACTAAAATCTCAATCACTAGCTGTAAGTGATTCCTTCTCTGTTTCAGAACAATGTCTTGGAGAGTGCTGAGAGTACTTGTGGTCCTTGCTGTCATCCAAGGGGCGAGTGTATTTGCAAAGTGTCCTGCCAAGTGTTTCTGTAACGTTCAACAGACCTCTGTGAACTGTGGCGGAAAACACCTCACGGACCTCCCAGCCAATATACCTCGAGAGGTAGAAAAGTTATATCTGAACAATAACAGGTTCACCACACTAAGTCCATACGCATTTTCTAACTTCACACGGCTATTGTATTTGGACCTCCGACAGAACTTTCTCCATCAGATTGATTCGGGTGTATTTTCCAACTGTTCACAGCTTCAACAGTTATACCTTACTGCTAACCTAATAGAAACAATCCATACAAAGGCTTTTGAAGGTTCCCAGCAAGTTACCTACTTGTCACTTGGAGCAAACCGACTGAAGCAGGTACCATCCCTTCCTTCCCTTGTCAACCTACAGAGTCTCATCATGGAAGGAAATAAAATCAGCAATGCAACCTTTCCAGAGAGTTATTCAGCAAACACGGCCCTCACCGACATAGTGATGAGCAACAACGCGTTAGATGTCCTCTCAAACGCAACCTTTCAATCACTGAGACCATCTCAAGTCAGGAAAGTGGAAATAGCCAGAAGCCATATACAGAAAGTTGAAAGCGGGGCGTTTGAGCCACTGAAGTTGTTGATGTCTCTGAAGATTGGATACAACCCTTTGGATAGTCTACAGCTGCAAAATGTCATTCGTGGCCTGAGCCACACAAGCTTAGTGTCCTTGGACATCCGGAACCTTAGTCTTGCTGGGAGGCTTCCTTCTGAGACGTTCCTTCTTTTACGCAACACACCGATCAGTTCCTTGAAGATGCAAAGCAACCAGATTGCAAATATACCCTCAGGGGCTTTTGCCAACTTGCCCAAACTGATTCTGATTGACTTATCCGGATGCAGGATCCAAACAATTTCCGAGTCAGCATTTGAGAATTTAACAGTACTGCAGACACTTTTTCTGTACGACAATAGTCTAGCAATAGTTCCTCGTGGTTTACCGTCATCACTTACTAAACTGAACTTAGACCAGAATCAGATTGATAAACTGAAAAACGGTGACTTTGATAATCTTAAAACTCTTGAAGAGTTGAACATAGGGAGAAATTCCATTTCTGAACTTCAAGAGTATGCTTTCTTGGGGCTCTCGCAGTTGCAGAAGTTACACTTGGGCCAAAATAGGATTTCAACCCTGCCAGGAAAGTTATTCAACCTATTTACGAGACTTGTGTCCCTTGAATTGAATGGTAATAATATCAAATCTATTCCTGCCAGCGAAGGTCGTTTTTCAAGTTTGGCATCCTTGGTTTATCTTAAACTCGACTCTAATGCATTATCAGATATGCCTCTTACGCTCCTTCGCCCCCTTCAGAGCCTAGTGTATTTGCATCTTGATAACAACCAGCTTGGATCTCTCCTAGCCGAAGACAGATCAGGAGAACTGTTCAGAAGCTTGGCTAAGCTTGAAGAGCTCCACCTCCGGAACAATGATATCCACACTCTTCCTGAACCAATGCTTGCTGAACAGAAATCATTAACCATCTTAGACTTATCTAAGAACAGACTCATTCACTGGGAACAACATTTCTTTGTGTCAACCGAGTCTCTGCGTACCCTTGATCTCAGTTTGAACTTGATTTCACTCATCAACAAGACTTCCATCAGCAACCTACGTTCACTTCAGACTCTGAACCTGTCTGGCAACCCTTTCGCCTGTACCTGCAGCGCTAGGTGGTTTTGTGGCTGGATGAATCAAACTGACATAGTCCTTCCACAGCGGTCTCTCTTCACCTGTAATCTTCCTTCGCCCTGGCAGGGAAAATCCATGTCCTCCTACTGCAATGCTAAAGTTGACTGTACTGATTACACGTTGTACTATATCATAGGGGCAGTTGGTGTAGGGTGTATTTTAACGTTCCTGATGATGGGAGTTTGTTACAGGTACAGATGGTATGTCAGGTACAGGTGCTTTAGAATCAAACGAGGACTCCGAAGAGGTAGGTACCGTAAAGACTACATGCATCTACCGGGCGATGACAAGGTTTACGATGTGTACGTATCGTACGCTGAAGAGGACAGAGATTGGGTGGCACAAAATATCATTAGGAAGTTTGATTGTGGTGAATGTGCAGGCGATCAGTGTGAAGGTCATTACAAACTCTGTTTTAGAGACCGGGATTTTGTCAACGGGCGACCAGAGATTCCCAGCATGGACGAGAGCCTCACTGCAAGCACATGCGCCTTCGTAATCGCCACAGATGAATATGTCACATGCAACTGGTGCTTGTTTGAATTCGATATGCTCATGGAAAACAAAGCCAGGAAGGTCATCTCAGACATAATTTTGATCAAGGTTGGCAAATTACACCAAAACATCCCCAAACTGATGGAGAGGATGATTCAGAGACATGAATATATTGAGTGGATAAGTAATGAGACTGCGGAGACGAACTTCCTGGAAAAGCTCACTGAGCAACTAGGCCCTAATACTGTTGGGGGCGCAATCCAGGCCTAAGCGGACATTATTGGGACGTCCAATCTACAGAATTGGATATAATGAACAGAAACACACAGAAAAAATTTATTGTGACGCGGTATGCCGTAAATTTAGCTCGTTGTGGGATTTCATGTGTGTGTTTGATGTTTGAGTGTGCAATAATTTTTCAAAATATTTGGCAGGTATATCAAACAGATCCTGCAGTGGTGCCTTTTGCTATTTACGGATTTTCGGCATTTTTATTTTTTTTCAATTCACAAGGAAACAATTTTTACATTTTACCTTACCTGATGCTAAGTAGTGCTATAGGTGTATCGTCAGCTAAGTATAAAAAACATTGCATTTAATCAGAAATGCTCATTTTTCTCGATTTCCAAGGAAACAATTTGTACTTAGTCTCATAAGCTGTTCAATATCATTCATCAACAAAACTTGGCAGATACATCAAACAGCACCTGAAGGGTGATTTCATTTCCGAGGCTTAAGGGGTGCCTTTTACAATATAAGATGTTTAAAAAAAATAAGTTCCCCGTTTCCATGGAGACATGATATTCAACATTTTTTCATCAAAACTTGGTACATGTATTGATCAAAGGTCAAGTGGTGCCTTTGGCTATTTAGAATTTTATTCAAAAAATATTTTTTCTCTTTCCATGGCAACAAGCTTTAATTTGATTGTTCATAGTGGTGTGTTTGTCCCCACCATGTCTCTAAAGTGAGTGGGTATGGTTTTACGCCGCTTTTAGCAATATTCCAGCAATATCACGGCGGGGGACACCAGAAATGGGCTTAACACATTGTACCCATGTCGGGAATCGAAACCCGGGTCTTCGGCGTGACGAGCGAACTCTCTAACCACTAGGCTACCCGACCGCCCCCATGTCTCTAAAACTTTGAACTACTCTTTTTTTTTAAACTGGGCACACACAAAGACCAGGTTGTCAGGTAGTGCCTTTTGCTGTTTAGGGATTTTTAGAATTTATATCTTTTCCATGTCAACAGGTTTGACTTGGACTCTCTTCATATTGGTTTATATCTGACATTGAAATACAAAGTTCCAAATCCCAATGACATGGTATTGTTTTGAAAACTCAGAAACTACTCTTGTATTAGATAGCAACTCTTTCATCAAGTTGAACTTAGAGTAACAGTTAGGCGATTTGTCCTTTCGAATTAGTGGGATCCGGGGTGGGGGTGGGGGGGATTTGTCATCTTCAGATGATTCTTTTCTAACTAGTCATGACCCGATTTCTCTCCACATTGTATGTGTTGTATTCATACCAGTACATGATAGAGGTGGTATGGACTGTCTTGATATGTACTTTTCATATTAATTGGGGGACATTGTGAGCAATTCTTGAACTGTTATGTAACAACACAATGTATTATGTGAACCATAGGCTGGATGGCCTTCACATTTGAATAAACTTTGATTGAATAATGTTACACTTCTTTACAGAAGTTAGGAGTGAGAATGGTTTGGGGCCGCTTTTAGCAATATTCAATAATCCAACCTGGACCAGACAATCCAGTGATCAATATTGTCAGTGTGATGATTTTGTTGGTTGGTTTGTTGTTTAACACTACACTCAGCAATATTTCAGCTATATGATGGTGGTCTGTATATATAATCGAGTCTGGACCTGACAATCCAGTTATTCATATCATGAGCATCGATCGCCTCTTACGACAAGCACAGTCACCTTTTACTGCAAGCATGGGTTGCTGAACACCTATTCTTCCCCGGATCTTCACAGGTTGTCGGTGTGATGAGGCGCAATCAATCAAGTCTCAAAGCTTGACCATTTGATCCATTTAGTCGCTTCCTATGACCAGAAAATGTTGCTGGGGACCTAATTCTAACCCTTAATCCCCAAGGAGGAGCTGACTTGATTGACCAATAATAGGACTTAGTCAACCTGTGTGGGGCTCTCTGTGACCTAGATCAAAGTCACATAATTCCTTCACAACATCTTGTGAAGGTTTGGTGTTGTCATTTTATGCAGCACCAAGCGATATTCCGACTGTGTTAGGCAGTCTGGAACAGACAAAGCCAGTTGATTGATATCATGAGCAAAGATGCTAGCCACTGGGGTATGTTGACACGCTACCTGTGAAGATAAGAATAAGGTGTTCAGCAACCCATGCTTGCCGTAAAAGGCGACTATGCTTGTTGTAAGAGGTGACTAACAGGACAAGGTGGTCAGGATTGCCGATCTGTTTGACACACGTCATCAATGCTCAAGAAGTCAATCTCTGAATTGTCTGCTACTGACTCAAATATTTACAGACCACTGTAATATAGCTGGAATACTTCTGAGTGCGGCAAACAAAACAAACAAAAAGTTGACACGCAATCCACTACCTCCCTGACCTTGACCACCCAATCCATCAGGTCCCCTCACTCCACAAGCACTGGCTGCTGGGGACCAACTATAACCTGGGATTTTCCCAAGAATTAATGCAGAGGTTTCCTTGAGCTACAAAATAGGTGAGAGAGTTCGACCTGCCTAAACAACATCAGCGTGGGACACCAAGAATGCGATTCAGCGAGGGACACCAAGAATGCGATTCACCGAGGGACACCAAGAATGCGATTAACACTTTGGTAATGAACCCTGGTCTTCAGCTTGACCAACTGACTACCTGGACAAACCAGAAGAACAAGACAAAAACAAAAGCTACCATACCAGCAAATTTATTTCATACATTTTTCTACACAGCAAAAATACAAGTCATTGAAATTAATATCAACATTCATTTTGAAACTTACAGAAAGGTAGCCTGGCTACAAACAAACTGATATGGTGTTGATATGACCTAATTATTGGCAGGCCATAAACAATTCAATGTACAAAATGTTACAAACGGCAGCTAACGTAATATAGTAACCAGAACCTCAAATGATATACAACTTGAACAGTTTCATTGTCTTCTTTGGACTCATTGGTTGGCTGGCTGGTCACATGACAGCTGACTCCTCCCACCAGGCTGGTGGAAGCTGACACAATGAAGAAGCATCTCATCCTTACTTGTTGATGTTGAAATCACATGACACCTGACACTTCCTGGTCACATGACAGACACCCATATGCTCATTGGCTGATTATAGGATCACATGATGCCCAACATGGCCAACAGTGATGGAACTTGATTGAAGAATCATTGTATGTAATGAAGAAAGAAAAGTGGCCTACCTGTGAAATTAAAACAGAGATGACCTGATTAAGTTGGTTAAAGAACTGATTGAAAGTGGATTGACCATCCATTGACAACATACAACTAAGGTATTTTCACTGTTTTGAGGTAAACAATATTTTCGGATGTGATCGTATTACCATAGTGATGCACCAGGGCTGCGAACATTGTGGGTTTCAAATAAGAATAAAAACAAAAACCTTCCTAACATTTCATATAACTGGGTATGCCCTGATTAAAGAAACATATCTTATCAATTCTAGAATTCTTGAAGATTTATCCAGTGTAAATTATTTTAATTTTCACAAACATATTCCCTATTTATTGTTTTAGGAATATTATAGGTAGGGACAATCTGGACAAGGATGTGAATAGTCTCACTCTCAAGAGCACAAAATACAATATGTCAATCTTAGCCATGGTCTCGTGGATAGAGCATCTGCCCGGTACAGAAAGATTGGTTGTTTGATCCCTGGCTGTGTCAAACCAAAAGATGTTAAAAGTTGATACTTGTTGTTACTCTGCCTGGTGCGCAGCATTAAGGGAATAAAACAAGGAATGTTCGGCTCGTTTGTACAGAGTGTCTGATTTGGATATACATGTTAAACTGAGGCAGGTTCTCTGTGGGCTAGCACTATAAAACTGGCATAAGTCTGAACTAGTATAAGCGCACCCCTTGCAAAAGAGCAAAAAACCTGAATGTGACATTAAACCCCATTTCACCTTACCTATGCCAAAATCTATATTAATAATCGTAAAGGTGTATTTTGGGGGACTGCTGTTTCATCTTGTCTACAAGAGAAGGCTGTAGAACCTATACCCTCGGTGCACCACAACCAACTATTCATATCAACCTGGAGTGTCCTCCACACACTGAGGGATGAACATTCTTAAACAATTCCTGTCCCTCGGACGACAAACAAAACATATAAATTGAACCAATAGCAAATTTGAACTACATTTACAAAAATAGAAACACATAAAAGTTGAATATCTCCAATGTATACAGAAAGGAAACATCTTGGAACCCTACTGATGCTGGGCACTGCATATTCATGCATTTCATGCTCCCTATCGTTACCAGTACTTAATCTCATTTCTTTTTGTGTTAACCTTATAAAGAGCTCCACCGCTGCCTCCTCCAAGACTGTACCTAGAAATGAAAATAATTTGTTTAGTACATTTTCGGTGGAATACAATGAGTGAAAAGCAGGTCCCCGGGCTGTAGTATAATCTGCAATAAGGACTTAAGAGCTTGTCAAAACCTTTGTCATAAGTAGTCGATCCAAAGTCTGCCTTTTACAAACGTTCCTCATTGACTGTACTGTGTCTTCACATTGGGCCAGATTGGTCACTTAGCAAGACACTATTTGGTTCAAATCCCTGTAGCTGATCCTCCCATAGACTAGTCAACATTAACAGGTAATGGCTATATCAGAAATATGGTAGCAAGCTTTACCATAGACTAGTCAAGAATTACTAGTAAATGCTGCATCTATCCATGGACTAGTCAAGAATAACTAGTAAATGCTGCATCTATCCATGGACTAGTCAAGAATAACTAGTAAATGCTGCACCTATCCATGGACTAGTCAAGAATAACTAGTAAATGCTGCATCTATCCATGGACTAGTCAAGAATAACTAGTAAATGCTGCACCTATCCATGGACTAGTCAAGAATAACTAGTAAATGCTACATCTATCCATGGACTAGTCAAGAATAACTAGTAAATGCTGCATCTATCCCGAATAATATAGCTGATCTTCCCATGGAGTAGTCAAGAGCAACTAGTAAATGCTACATCTATCTTGAATACTGTAGCAAACCTCAGTAGGTGTCAGAATTGAGTCGGGATATCTTTCAGAAACCAAGGACTCATCTAGTGTTTTGTTACTTGTCCAATAAATACATGTGAGTACCGCCCTGTGGTGCAGACAAATAAATGTGTGAAGATGAGTGAGTGAGTATGGTTTTACGCCGCTTTTAGCAATATTCCAGCAATATCACGGCGGGGGACACCAGAAATGGGCTTCACACATTGTACCCATGTCGGGAATCGAACCCGGGTCTTCGGCGTGACGAGCGAACGCTTTAACCACTATGCTACCCGACCGCCCCTGTGTGAAGATGAACAAGGTTACAAGAGCGTTCACAATATTTTACAATTTCCTCAAATGTTTAACATTTGGCAAGTCAGATTTGATAGTAAAGATCAACATTCTTTTGAACACAAAATACAGTTTTCAGTTTTTGGTTACCAGCTGATTATTAGATGTGTGAATATAAAAAAGTCACTTTGAAAACTATTTTTGAATATTTGTCAAATTAATTAAATATGTTTTAAATATATTACAAGAATTATTGACACTTGATAAGTACAGTTTAACCCCATAACTAGGGCAGTGAACGCTTCATTCTATGCAATACACACAGTGGTACATTTATCACCTATTGTGACAACAGGCATCTCAAACGTCACTCACGGTAGTAAATATCGGGCACTACTTATCATTACTCAAAACTGAAGACTTCCTCAGCTCCCCAACTGTATCGAGTTCTGTGATTGGTTGACTGATGACCTTGACACTCATCCTGTCAGGGGTCAATCTCCGCCAATGCAGTGGTAACGAAAGGAAATCAAAACAATTAGAATTTAGTTCTAAGAACTTCCAGGTAAGTCTGTTAGGCCTTTCATCATTTACTAGTTGGTTTACAATTATTTTGGCCGAAACTTCAATGTACATGTGGTCGAATATGTTTTTTTTAATTCAAACTTCCAGATAAGCATTGCTATTAGTAAAAAAGACCCAGACTAACAGGTCACACCATTAAAACTACAGTTACAAAACGATACCAAAAGACAATAGTGTTTTTTTTGTTAGAATAAAGATTTTTATACATATTCACCATTTCTTACAAAATGAGGTGATGAAATCTGGTGGGTTTTTTCATTTCACCTACTTGTAAAACAGTTGGCCTAAAATTTGTTTGTCAGAAGTCATTTTATTTTCCTTCCAATGTCCGGTTTTTCTTATTGACAGGCCTTGTAAACCAACTGACAATAACATAAGGCCTAATGATATATGGACTACAAAATAGGAATGAAGGTAAATCCCATGATTCCACTGTATTTATTATACATTACAAATTCAAACCTTTCAAAAACTTATATTCATTCACATTTACAAAGTCAGAACACATATTTAACGATGTCTCTGCAAATGTGAGATTTGTCATTTTGTCACAGACAGCAACAAGAATGACTTGCCTTGCACCACTTATTGAACTGTTTGGATGCAGAGCATCTTAGTGTTAAACAAAGGTACCATTTCCTCCTAAAGTCAACATGAATATCAGAGGAAGTGTCACAAGGCAAGAAAAAACATAAAAACAAAATTATTACCACTTTATGAAAGCAGCTTAAGTCTTTAATTGACAAATCATCCAGAGATGGTAGGTCCTGTATAAAGAAACAAACATTCATACAGTCACCATGGTAACCATGATTACATGCAGAACATCACTATGGTATCCATAGTTACATGTGTGTCACAGAAGGGAATACACAATCTTTTAAGGATACATTTGTGTTTCTATTGATGATGTATCACAATGTCCATGGAAAATATGTACAAAAGCCAAACTATTTCCCCCCTCCTTTCACGGATAATCCTGCAAATGTTTCAAAAAGTACAAAAGTTAAAATAGTGCATGCTCTTTTCAAACCTCAGCTTCTTAATAGTTTATTTTTATTTTAAAAAATTGTATTTTCAAGGCTTTGAAAAACTGGTTGCTCATCTTACGTAATGATTCAAATGACAGATATTTTTTTCTGAAAGTGAGATTGGAATTCTGATCATGGAATATCGGTTAAGGCAAGTAAAATCAATAAAGCAAGTATGAATTAGTCCGGGCCGTTTCATTTTAGGGCTGATCAATTGTTTATATTGGGGGTTCATTTTATAAAAAAAAAAAAATTTAACTTCATAATCAGCAAAATATGGACCCATTTTCCTTGCAAATATAACAAAAAATACATGATATATCAGTGTGAACCTCTGTGTCAGACATTCATGCTTTAAAAAGGAACCGGCTGAACAACAGTTCCCACAAACCGTCTCCTATGTATGGCTGCTCTTACTGCTTCTGCAGTCAAAAACAAATAAAATACTGTAAAACTCAAAAACTGAAATCCTACCAGAAGTCATCTCTGAAAGGATAACCTACGAACCATTGAAATAAGTGGTCCAATAATGCATGATATGCGATAAGTCATGTTTCCACCAAAAGTATGTTCTACCTTTCTATACTCACCACCAAAAGAAACACGAACCATAGAAACATATAGAGAAGTTTGTACGTTATGAATAGATGTTTCCAGTGTGTACCACTTGATGACCAAACTAACAACTCTGTTACCACAGAGTGTCTTTATTCTTATCACGATGTGCCACAAGTGATTTCCAAAATTTACACGCTAATCCTGCACGAGAGAAATAGTGCATCTCAAGTTATGGATCTATGACGTCACATGATGCTTTCATGAGCATCGGTTCACACAACATAACAGTATATTCATTTGTACGTTGAACAAATCTAATATCTCTTGAATATGAGTAATTCATCATATATTAACCAACATGTATGGTATTCGTGTTTCTTTTGTAGGTGAGTATTAAAACATTGTCCACAGATGCTTACTGCCTATCATCATTATGGAAAGTGTTATCGACCTAATCTGATAAACTTGGTGTCAACATCCAATAAATACGGAAATGAGGTCACCAAGCACAAACTACTTTTAATGTAGTTACATATTCCAATATCTGCTTGATCATTAAATAAATAATCAAAACCCATTCTAACTTATTCGCTGTAATTCCATGTGGTTTCAAATTGGTAATTGATACGCAGATGTCCCAAAATCCCCAAATAGCTTTCTCAGTCTTATGTGTTGTATGATTAAGATAACTTTGAGAAAACAGAAATATTTGCTCGACATTACAAACAGCTGGACTGAATTTTAATTACAGCTTTCAACCTGTTCAACAAAAGTTTCCCTTTCAGAATTATTCTATATTCTAACTTGGACGTGTTTCAACATACCCTGCCAAGAGCTGCTCTATGATTGTATGTCAAAATGGTGTTCTTTAAAAATATGTCAAAACTATAAAAACACAAGGGAGGAAAATACAGCCCTGTTACAAACCAGTGCATATGACAATAACATGTAAACGTAGAGAAGCTTCAGATCCTATTTCTACCGTACAGATTGACTGGATAAAGGAAATCCACTTATCTGGCTGTTCACTTATCAGACAGGGATGGTGGCATAACACAACCCTAACCATCCACTGCAAACATCTGAAACAAAGGCGGATTAAATAAGAACACCATATTCAAACAGAGCTCTATGTTCATATGGACAAACAAAATGTATATATACCAATACTGCACGTTCCAACATCTGGGCAAAAACATACATTAATTGTTGCCTTTTCAAAATCATTTACCCCATAAAAAGAAAAACGTAATCTACCAGATTGAGAGGCCCATTGGGGTCGATCTGATTCACTTGTCAAAACTTTGTACCATCATGTAGCATGTCAACATCAGACGTTCTTGCAAGTTACAGAACTCAGGATATTTCTTGACAACGTCATTTAAATCCCAATAGTTAAACATTACTTAACTCAAAGTGTTATAAAATTAACCAACTTTTAGCAACAAAATCAAAGCCAATACAATCCTACAATATATGTACATACAAAAACAAAAGCTGGTTCAATGATAAAGTTCCTGTAAAAAATCAGTCTATGTTTTTGGTTTGCGTTGTCACAGGAAATCTACAGCTTTTCCTGAATGAAGTGATGGGTGAGCGCTTGGTTTATTGATAACCTCTTGGAGGGATCAAGCATTATTGTCCGTTCCAACAAGTCTTTGAGTTGAGCAACTTTGCGCAGCTGGTCGTCCGGTAGCCTCTGGTATCCAACCATCTCCGCCAATAGGTCCTTGTTAGGGTTGATATTGCTCAGCACGGTGACCTTCTCCTGCAAGCACAAAACACACTCATTGGCTGCAGTTCATTCTGAGGGAGCAGTTTCAGTCCCTGTTGTATTCCGTTTATTCGTAGTTTTGCACCTGTTTGACTGGTGGCAGACACTTTTATGAAAAACATATCCATGGCTAGAATGGCTTATGGAACTGAATCTGGAGATCACTAGTGTAAACATACAGACATACACTTTCGGTAAGCAATAATACAAATGTTATTTTCCAGTCAAAATGAAATCAGGATATTAATTTCATTTAACCATTTCTCAAAAAACAAAATGAATAATAGTCTGTTTGTAAAGAGTTTTTTTTTTCATTTGACACAAACACCTCAAACAATTATTGGAATGATTTAATAAAAACAATGCACAATTCAAAAACTGACACTTTATAAGTAAACCTATGCAATTTTTACATGATTAAAACCAGCTTCTGACTCACATGTTAAAATTCTGCAGTGTATTCTGAATTCTGCGGCAAATGCAAAATTCTGGACAAGGTCTGCACAAAAAGTGATTTTCTGCAAAATAGGTACATTTCTGCACAGAGTGGACATTTCTGCAAAATATTCCATGACCGCAGAATCTCGGAACATAGCGGGACTGCAGTTTGGGTTGTAATGTTGCTTTCAATGACGTCACAGCATGCCAGCTAAATGTGGAATGAAAGTCTGAAGGGATACAGATCCCACATGCTTTCCAAGCAAACCCAGAATCATAACCAGAGAAAATCTGGTATTCGAAACCACCTTCGTAGGATCCTGGCATGCTTAAGGGTTGCAACTCTGTAAAGCAAAATTTGCTGCCGGGGGCATGGTGCTTGAGATATGTTCAACTGAGAATGTCTATCCAATCTTTATCTTGGAGCAGGTAACTTACCCTCTGTGTGACTTTATCCACCTCGTGGTACAGGAAGTTGTAGTTGCCGTCGAAGTGCTGTTCCTTAAACATGCCCTTGCGAATCATCTTATTGGGCATTTTACCTTTCACGTCCATGACAAACTTGAGCATCTCATTGTTGGAGTTGCCCGGGAATAAGATCTTGCCTGTGTACAGCTCGTAGATGGTGCAGCCTACTGACCACATGTCGATGGCGTGGTCGTAACCCATGCCGATGACTGTAAATGAATAATAGTAAACCCACGTCTTACTCTTCCTGACAAATATGGAGACATTGTACGTTCTTGGCTACATATACTTGGCTATATAAACTCTGCAGTGCCTTAGACCACTGGGCCACACATGCCACCGGGTATGGATGCAGCTACATCATCATCATCATCATCATCATCATCATCATCATCATCATACATTTATATAACACAGGTATCCAGGTACAAGTATCTGCTTTAATGTGGTTTTATTTGTTCCCCTGACCAGTGGACCTGTTTGTCTTCCGGTTATCATTCTCAACTCCCTGGGGAGTATACAACCCAAGCCGCCTGCAGGTCGTAGAGGGTTATTACATCCACCTCACATATCGGGTACTTATTCCCTGCTGGGCGACCAAAGGAACCTTTGAGCTAAGTCACTTGCGCAGGATGACACCACGAGTTTTGAGACTTGTGCTTCGGGTGTATGAATGTATTCGTATTTCCGCCATCTGGTGGGTTCTTTTGAGTGCACAGGGTGTATCTACTGTACACTAGGGGCAGTGACAAAACAGTATATGGGTGAGGAAAGAAACTTTGCATCCAAGATCTTGTGGGGGAAAACACATGTGATGTTCATGGGTTAGTATTTTGTAATTCGGGCAACTGTAGACCAACAGATGAATATACGCATCACCAAATATGATGCATCAGACAGGTTGGAACAACTCAATCAAACTTGTTTGGACTGAATTGTTTGATAGGAATTACACAGAAGTTGATGGATGACAAGAGCCACAATTTATGGATAACAAACAGTCAAGTGGTATAAGGATCTTGACAACGGTATAAGGATCTTGACAACGGTGTAAGGATCTATACCGAAACGTAGCCTTTACAGTATTAAAGAAGTTGTAATCCATAAATTGTGCTTACTTTGTTGTTTGGACTGGGTTGGGCTTAAGGCTGTTTAGAAAATCATTTTAGTTGTATCAAGGCGTGTCATCTTGATGTGGGAAGAAAGCCTCAAGGCTATTACGAGTTATGTCCTTTCTATGCCTCTCCTATTGACCAATCAGATTCAACCTCTCGTATCACTTGCATTTGCTTCAAATAAAACGGTGGCGCCAAGTCAAGACGATCTGATTGATAATCAAGATCTATATTGTGATAAAACGAGTCTTACATTGCGAAGTGCATCAAATCACTCGAGTACCTTGATTAAAAGCATGAAAGGATTTAGAAAATTTCTGTTGACAACGAGCGGTGCACATGTTTTGCAAATCCTGCAGTCGACCGAAATCTGCATCACACTTTACGAACCAGATTTCGATTTCGGTGCGCGATTTTGATTGGACTATGTATAGACTCGTTAGTCCAGTCAAAATCTAACTCCATAATACCAGCCTAGTTCGGCAAGGGTGGAAACTGGACTTTTATAGTCAGTTAACTCACTTGCCTCGGGAAGATGACAAACACTTGCAATGATATGTTCCACAAGGTGGTATTTCAAGGGACACGACGGGTATTTACATCATTATCATCATTATTGTTAGCATAGGATTATTCTGAACAGTGTTCAAAATCATATGAATTATATGATGCATCTCTGTCAAGGTAACAACACTGACGAGACAATCTAAGACTGAGGGGTCCCTCGATTTAAAGTTGATTGCAGCAAACCCCAAGAACCCAAAGATCCACTTCAGTTTCCAGGACTGCCAAAGATTGCAATTACTTATGCATAGACATACAGGATTACTGCGAAGACAAAACCTGACATATGTCTATCACTTACTGATCTCTGGAGCTCTGTAGAACCGACTGACGAGGTATGGCGTGATGTCATTCTCGGACACGTGAGAAGCTGAGCCGAAGTCACACAATTTCAGCACTAGTTTGGATTCATTTACCTGAAAGAATAGTCGAAACAAATACATGAAATAACTTGAAAGAAAACAAGGAAAAATCTACAGAAAAGTATTCCCAGCAGAGTTATTCCCCTTTAGTTTACAACCAGTCTGCTGTGCATGCTGTGGTGGTTGTGGTAGTGGTTGTGGTGGTGGTTGTGGTGGTGGTGGGGCAAGATTCCATGTCAGTTGCCTAACTAGGCTTGGTAACTGCTAGCATGCTGAACATCAGTGTCAGAAACTCACAGTTTTCGTTAACTAGTCCTGATAATGATAACATACAACAAAACCTTTAAAAAGGGCAAATTTCTACTAGTCCTTATGGTACCTTTCCCATTGGGCAGTTTGGCAAGGACTACAGGACTAGTGCCAATTTCTAACGCTGAACATATTTGTATATTTATATACTTATCCCATCTCACACTATGCATTTCTCCTTCCTCGATCTTGGTGCCGAAACGCTCGAGAACAAAGTTTACAGCTTAAAAAAAACACTACACCTGAACACATCCCAACATCACCATGGTCACTACCTAAACAAAGAGTCACATATTGTAATCCCTTGCACTGTGACCATACAGAAGCTGACCACATTACTTGACCTGATATATCATTCTCTTTTTTTTTTCCTGTTGCTGCCTTTTGAAGAACCTGAAGTCGAAGGCAGGTTGGGGGAATGGCGTAGGCATTGAGATTCTACGACGAGATGTCTAGAGTGTTGTGTTCTAGACATCTCGTCGTAGAATCTCAATGCCTACCACTTTGGGGACCCGTGAAGATTCCGGGGTAGAATAGGTCTTCAGCAACCCACGCTTGCCGTAAAAGGTGACCATGCTTGTCGTAAAAGGCAACTAACAGGATCGGGTGGTCAGGCTCGCTGACTTGGTTGATGCATGTAATCGATCCCAATTGCGTGGATCGATGCTCATGATATCAATCACTGGATTGTCTGGTCCAGACTCGATTATTTACAGACCGCCATCACATAGCTGGAACATTGCTGAGTGAGGCGTTAAACAACAAACCAACCAACCAAACCAACCAAGACTTTGGGTCTGGGATGGAAGAGTTGAACGTGTTGAAGCTGGTTGTGAAAAGGTTGACGTTTTGGCTGGCATAAAGGCAGCAAATCCACTGAAAAAGCAAGGGGTGGAAGCGCCATTCCGTCGGTGATGCTTGGTCTGGTGGGACAGGGAGTCTGCTCTGATGTCGTGAATCTCTGGGATGTGTCTCGCCCGAACTTGTACGCACGGAGATCTGACCAGCCGGAAGAACACCAGAGCCGTCGCCAGGATGGACGCCGACTTGGTGGAGCCCATCTTGTTGATGTACCCTACTACGGTTGTCTGATTGGATCATGAGTTGCGTAGCAAATGGGATACTGCGAGGATGACTGCCTTGAATTCCAAGTTGTTGATGTGGAACTTCCTGTGTCCTAGGGACCAACACCCTGCCGCACTGAGATGAGCTCCCCAGCCCACAGTTGAGGTGTGAACGGCTACAAAGAGACTGTCACAAACATTTGACTTTTGTAGCAACCACTGGGGATGCTGGTGTAATGACAATGGTAGGCGGATCAGAATCTGACAGTTGTCGTCTTGGACAGAGTTGGAGTTGGCCTCTTCTGTGAGTGCTTGTGCCGACGTTATCAGACCTAACAGCTGTTGCCATATGCGAAGAGGCAAGGGCTGTTTGAGTTTCATCTCTCCGAGGGAACGAACATGTTGCCCAGGTCGGTATAGTATAGAGAGGTGTACGCCAGGCAAGGTAGCATCTACTAACGTCTTTTAGTATGACACGGTCTGGGATCGAACACATGAGCTTCCGCTCTCTGCGCAAAAATTATCCATTAGACCATGGAGGGGTTTGTCAGATAAGTAGGGGTATTGATGGCAGAGGCCCAGGAGGGTAGAAACAATCTATGCAAGCTGGCTTTTTTCCTTGTCCAATATTGACATGTAGTTGTAAGAGGAAGTTTAAAATAAATAAATGATGTATTCTTTAGGTTCAAACACATTTCCAAACAATGGCGATAAGAAAGAGAATGACATATGAAGTCAAGTCATGTGGTCAGCTTGTGTATGGTCACTATTACAATGCATGACCCTTTGTTTAGGCAGTGACCATGGTAATGTTGGGCTGTGTTCGGTTGTAGTGTTTTTTTAATGCTAGAAACTTTGTTCTATGGCATTTCCACACCAAGATAGAAAGAAGGAGAAATGCATGGTGTGAGATAGGATAAGTTTAAAATACAAGCATTAATAATGTTCCATTCCATACACCAAGTAAATGCTCCATACTTATTACTAGTCAATGGATCTGAGTGCACTCATATTACTTTGAAAGCTCCCTTGGACATATGAGACACAACTGGCATCCCTAATGAGGTGACTGAGAGTTGAGCTGCACTTCACCAAGTGAAGTTCAATCCACAGGACCTAGTCTCCGTTTATCACCTCATATGTGAGGTATAGGACACTTATCGTGCTCTGGCAATCCCACAAGAAGTTGACATCATAAATCATACACTGATCTTGTGCAAAAGTAGTAAACACATCCACTACCAAACATCACTTCATCCATGTGATTCACCGATTGACATCATGAGCATCAATCTACGCAATTGGGACACAATGACATGTTTCAACCAAGTCAGCAAGCCTGACCATCCGGCCAGTTAGTCCCCTCTTACAGCATGGGTTGCTGAAGACCAATTTTTACCCAGATCTTCACGCATGTAGTGCTGGAAGGAATATGTTATCAGAGAGAGAAATATACCTACCAAGATGTTGTCGGGCTTAATATCAGCATGCAGAATGCTGCATCTCTTGAGCAACTTGAGAGCCAGGAAGAGTTGTTGGCTGTAGGAGCGCACCGCCTTGATGTGCAGGCCGATGTCCTTGCCATACTTCTTGAGAACCTCACGCAGGTTCATGCTGAAACACAAACCTCACAGCCGTCAGCTTCTACTGGGATGAAACTCTGTACAGCGAATTAGATGACTGGATCACCCATGTCCCCCCATTTCCATACTATACATGCAAGCTTTGAACAAAGTCCTGAGTGGTAATTTACTTTCCCTGGTTGGGACTAGTCCTGTAGTCCTTGCCAAATAGTTAAGGTGTCCTGAGGACTGCTTGAAATTTGCCCTTTGTAAGGGTTTTCCTATATGTTATTCTAAGGACTAGGGGCTAAAACGGTTAAGTTTCTATCTCTGAACTTTATGTGGCGTTATATTTTAAGTCCAGCTGACCTGAGAGATTCAAACACAAGACAAAGATGGTTCTTGTGGAAGAAGTGTCGATACAGTCGGAGACAGTGGAATTTGTCATCGGGGTCGGCATCGTTCAGTTTCCTCAGAAACTCAAGCTCTTTCAAGCCGGTCTTGTGCCTGAAACGTGAAGCAACATAAGTTTCTATTGGACATAACGGCCAGTTGACGATCTCTCACCAACAATCAAATATTCAATCAATTTAACAGTCCGATGTACAAGGATTCCAGTTACTGGCAATTACAAGGTTACGACCGGAAAAATAGAACTTGGACCCGGCAATTTCAGAATTCTGGACAGTAAATACATTAAAGTTGTACACTAGATGTCCCCGAATCGTTACATCACCAGAGGGAAGCAGTTACTCATACACGTTGAAACCAGTGTTTGAAACAGTTTTAAAACCCAACAAGACAGTCGGGCAGGTGACCTTCAGTGTTGCCTGCCAATCTTCAAACTTACCTGCCTGCATTCATACATTATGAAGATTGAAAAATCGTGAAAAACACGAGACAAATTGCATCTTGATTCAGTTAAAAAAATGCAAACAATTACTTGAGTATATACAAGGAGTTATAATAAAACTGTATACGTAAGTAGTCTTATAATTTCATGCAACCCGACAGGAATGCTACCAGCCACAGGCAAGCGGGCAGGCCATTATTTCGAACACTGGTTGAGACATGAGTGAGTGAGTTAATTTGGTTTTACGCTGCTTGTAGCAATATTCCAGCAATATCACAGCGGGGGACCAGAAATGGGTTCACACATTGTACTCATGTCGGGAATCGAGCCCGGGTCCTCGGCGTGACGAGCGAACGCCGTAACCACTAGGCTACCCGACCGCCCCGGTTGAGACATGAAGAATAAACCAGAGTCTGGAGTCTGGCGGGTTATGAAAATGGCAGTGGCCTATCAGAATGTTACAAATTGACTCGTTGTTGCAATACGAAATCAGGGCAATACCCATGGTTAAAGTGGAGTGTATCCTGACTTGGGGTGTACTCACATCATCTCATTGTTTCGGATGATCTTGATGGCAACATCCTGGGTCCCGCGGGCAGCATCACGGCCCCTCACCACATTACTGAACACCCCCTGGCCAGTGTAGCCGTACACATTGTACCGCTTGTCCAGGGTCTCGCTGATACGAACACCTACAAGCACACAGACAAACACGCTGGAATCAGTGAGTGAGTGAGTATGGTTTTACATCACTTTCAAGAATATTCCAGCAATATCACGGCAGGGGACACTACAAATGGGCTTCACACATTGTACCCATGTGGGGAATCAAACCCGGCTCTTTAGCATGACGAGCCAATGTTTTAACCACTAGGCTACCCCATCGCCCCCATGCTTGAATCAACACAAATACTCTCACATTGCTTAAGGAGGGTTCAACGCTGATTTTAACAGTTTTCCAGTTGTATCACGGCATGTCAGCTTAATGTGGGAGGAAAGCCTGTAGTAATGCAGGTCTTATACATTTACCACACTGGTGAAACCCACGAGCACGGGTATGTTGCTGACAAACCTAGAAACATTATCAGGACGCACCGGGTTTCGAACCTACAGACATAGGATTCTAGCATGACCTGGGAATTTACAGTTACTGGCATCAAATGACATCAGGGAAAAATAAATTATTGTTCTGTATAGCTCAGCAACAATCCAGTCCAGCATTATATATTATAAGGAGCGTCAACTCACGATAGTAGCCCTCTGCATCGTCCCAGTTGTCCATCAAGTTGGGGTTGTCATGGACACCGCCTACAGGACGCACAAACCCGGGACTCTGAAATTACACAATAGACACTTCATATACATGTAAGTGAAAATGATATCGGGGATGGTTTTATGATGCTTTTAGCAATATTCTTATTGATAGCATTGATAGTATTGACGTAATGAAAGTATTGAAAGTATTGACAGTATTGACAGTACCGACAGTATTATCGATAGCATTGATAGCATTGGTATCAACAGTATTGATAATATTGACAGTATTGATAGTATTGATAGTATTGACAGTACCGACAGTATTATCGATAGTATTGATAGCATAGATAGTTTGTTTATTTGTTGTTTAATGCCACACTCAGCAATATTCCAACTATATGGCGGCGGTCTGTAAATAATCAAGTCTGGACCAGATAATCCAGTGATTGACATCATGAGCATTGGTCCATGCAATCGGGATCGATGACATGCATCAACCAAGTCAGTTAGCCTGACCACCCGATCCCGTTAGTTGCCTCTCACGACAAGCATAGTCACCTGTTACGGCAAGCATGCATTGCTGAAGACCTATTCTATCCCGGGTTTTCTCAATGTGTATTGATAACTGAGATAAATGAAACACTAAAGTGGTATTTTTTCAGAATTAATGTCACTAAACTCCACTCTGGTACAATGCCTTTCTACATGAAGATCTAAGGACACCTCCATAGGAGGTTACGTGAACCCTGAGCTAAATTTGACAGCCCAATCTATATTAATTATGCGTAGGTTGTTGAAACAATCATATACCAACTTTCTAAACACATTCAGCTTCATTTTCATACCACCCTCGTTTTAAAATTTCAGTTGTAACAAAGGAAAGCCCAGACAGAACACAAATATGCCTTCGATGTTATTCCAATTTGATGTAGGTGCCATGGCATCTAGTCTAAGAGACACTGCCCGGACAAACACACCACTATGAACAGAGTCAATGTCAAATTTCTTGCCATGGAAATGGAAAAAATATGAATTCTAAAAATCCTTAAATATCAAAAGGTACCAGTTGACAGCCTGGTGTTTGTGTGTGAAAAGTTTCATGAAAGAATACCTATTAGGTTCTGAGATATGGTCCGGACAAACAGACCACTATGAACAGAGTCAAAATCAAACTTTTATAAACAAAATAAAAACTTTTAAAATTCCTATTTAGAATCATGCACCAATTGACAACTTGGTCTTTGTGTGTGCACACTTTCATGACAGAATACCTATTAGTTTTAGAGATACGGTCCGGACGAATACACCACTATAAACAGAGTTAAAATCAAATTGTTGCTATAGAAACGAAAATGTTTTTTCTAAAAATCCCTAAATAGCAAAATACACCAGTTGACAGCTCTGTCATTGTGTGTGCAATGTTTCATGAAGGTATACCTATTAGTTTTAGAGATATGATCCAGACAAAAAAAACTGATTTCAGATGGACAGACAAGCTGATTACTCCATCCGTCTCCATGACACACCGGGGGCACACAAATAAGATAATTGATCTGAATGCTTCACTCATTTATGCCAAGAATTTAGAAGCCTTGACGATGATTGGCCAATTAGAAAGTTCACCTGACGCGACCATCTATGGATGTGTCCACAGGTCCTCCCAGAGAGGTATACTGACTCCGAACCAACCAGTCCTTGTTTTATCCCCTTACTGCTGAACACCAGGCAGGGTAACAACAAGTACCATCTTTTAACGTCTATTGTATGACACGGGCACAGAGGCGGCCAACTTCTATATGGTAGTTATAGTCTTCTCTGCACCCCTTAAAGGTTTGCTAGTTTTGTCTAGAATAAATACATTTCCTTCCAGTCAAGCTGCCTGACAACTAGAGCCTGCGTTAACACTTACAGAGTAGGTTTCACTGAACATGTCATTGTCTTCAGCAAACATGTCCGCTGTGCCATTGGATTTCTTCTTCTTGTCACCATCTAGAAATATAAGAATGAATTTAATTTGTTCCACAAGAGCTGAGCAGCCCTCTATGTAGCGACCATTTCGGTCGTCAATGTGACTTCAATCTATGATCAATCTCATTAAAATCAAATCTTAGTTCTCACCATCGCTAAACAAAGATCTGAGGACATCCCATTAGGGGTCACGTCAGAACGACCTTTCATCCAACCAATCAGAGTGTCGCTTATCAGATCATGAAAGTGACAGTTGGAATGTGTTTTCTGATCATGCAACCTCGAAATATTTAACAGAGAGTAATCCGAACGACAGTTACGGGCTTTATGATTTTATCCATACAATCTTGGCCATCTATAAGCCATAACAGAATGTTCTTTTTATCAGTTTTAAATGTTTTAACCGAGAATACGTCAATATATGTTTTGAAGCGTATTCGCCAGTTTGAAACTAGTGTCGTAAAGCTCGAGTAAGCTGCCTTCTGATTGGCTAATGTCGATTTCTTGTCTGTCATTTCATAGATCGGTCAAAGTTCGCGAGAGGTCGTTCTGACGTGACCCGTAATGGCATGTCCTCAGATCTTTGTTTAGCGGTAGCGAAAACTAAGATCTGATTTTAATGAGATTGATCTATGATTGGCAACCTAAATTTATCTACTGTTCGCCACTTGGCTCCTTAAAAATATACATTACTGGCAACAATAATTGTTTCTGCCACGAATAATGTCGAATCATGTAATATTGCATGTGTACTTGTTCTGGGGGATTTTGTACCCTGTTGGAAATTGCACTTCAACCAACTTAAGCCTTACAAAAATAATCTAGTGGTTCCGATTAACCGACCGACCCCATAAAATGCTTCTGACTCACGTTTTTTCACTATTAATTCACTAGACTGACATTTGCTCCGCCCTTTTTCTTGCTCCCCAATGATTGCAATGGATTCCGTATAACCACACCCAGCGTTAGAAATCGGCACTAGTCCTGTAGTCCTTGCAAAACTGCCTAATAGTTAAGATATCATAAGGACGAGTAGAAATTTGCCATTTTTAAGGGTTTTGCTATATGTTATCATTATAAGGACTTGTGAACTAAAAATGTTAGTTTCTGTGTCAGTGAACATTTCAGTGGCTCCATGGAGCGGTGTGAGGATTCGGTTACGCTAAATGTTTATACAGTGTGCAATTGTCTAGATTAGGTCAAGTACCTTCTTATAATTCTCAGTCAAGTAACTCTGTAGGTCAAGTACCTGTATTTTGGGGAAGTCTAGAATTTCCTTGTTCAGTCCAAGTGACTATAGTCTTTAAGATTAAGCTTTTATTTTAGGCATGGTCGTCTTATCATAATTGTCCAAGAGACATATTTTAGGAATAGGTCCTCAGTGCTCATTTCTCCCTATCTAAAACCAAGCCGATGGTATTCATTGATTAAAGTGTTGAGTTAATTACCTCTCAGGTGTTTACTGGTCACTGCCAGCTGAATTGGCTGTCTATGCGTCGTGTCGATTGTCTTGTCAGAGTGTTGATTTAGCTATCTTTTGTAATAGTTGTTATACAGTAGCTCAGCTAATCTGCATGTGAGTGAGTGAGTGAGGTTTTAAGCCGCTTTTAGCAATATTCCAGCAATATCACGGAGGGGGACACCAGAAATGGGCTTCACACATTGTACCCATGTCGGGAATCGAACCTGGGTCTTCGGCGTGACGAGCTAACGCTTGAACCACTAGGCTACCTGACCGCCCCTAATCAGCATGTATAGTTGCTCACGGGATATTATTCAGTGATAGCTGTCAGTGGCCTTCATCCTTGATATTGTCTTCTTTAGTTACACTCAGCTGATCATAATAAAACTGGGAACCTTTACCACATTACCTATTATCACATTTTCCTTATATAATGATCCCCTGTCTCTGGAGCACAGTTCCGTGACATACTCACTTTCACTAGTAATGCTGTCTCGTAGCGCACTCCTCTTCTCATCCATCGACTTCTCGAAGTCCTGCGACTCTTCCTCCAAGTCTCTCAGTACCTGGTCGGCCATCTCATCATCGTCATCGCTGTCCAAGCCAGACGAGGAGGAGGAGTCGCTTCCGTGCCCACGTTGCCCCTCAGCCTTGTCTTCTGGTGGTGGAGTAGACTCGTCACCTGCAACATCTAGCCCAGGGATGTCCGACTCTGCTCCCAAACGCTACAGTTGTAGAAACATAAAAGATTAAATGCCCATGCTTTTTCCTGGTGAGCGAATGATGCAAAGTCAGTGAGTATGGTTTTATGCCGCTTTCAGCACTATTCCAGCAATATCACAGCAGCGATCACCGGCAATGGGCTTCTACACATTGTACCCATGTGGGGCATCGAACCTGTGTCTTTGGCATGACAAGCGAACGCTTCAACCACTAGACTACCCCATGATGCAAAGTGATACTGGTCTTTGATGTAAAAAAAACAAGTAATACTGAGCAATTCTAGTGAAACACACAAGCATACATGCAGTGCTGACAAACCAATGACATTATTATGATAATCAGTGTGAATCTGGGATTGAATCCACAACCATCTGATCCTGAAACGGCCAAGGGATACAACTCTGCACAACGAACTGTGGTTCCTCATAGCATGATCTCAAGCTGACAGATGGTTAATCAAGATGGCTCAAATAAGCACTGGCAGAATGGCAACACCACTGATTTGATGGGACTTGATGAGATACTTGTAAATTAGTGCATGTAACAGGCATCCATTGTACACCTATTTTACAGCAGACAAAACTGAATCAGGTCTGGGCCCCGTTGCACATAGTTATCTTAGCACTAAGGTGATTGTAACTCACATACTTTAACATAGGCGCTGAAATCACTTTCTGCAATGGGGGCCTGGAACAGCATCTTCCCGAGGAAAGAGAGTTAACTGACTATAAGTCCAGTTTCCACCCTTGCCGAACTAGGCTGGTATTATGGAGTTACATTTTGGCTGGACCAACAAGTCTATACATAGTCAAATCAAAATCTCGCAACGAAATCGAAATCCGGTTCGTAAACTGTCAGGCAGATTTCGGTCGATTGCAGGATTTGCAAAACATGTGCACTGCTAACTCGTTGTCAACAGATATTTTCAAAACCTTTTCATATTTTTAATCAAGGTGCTCTCGTGATTTGATGCTCTTCGTGATGTAAGACCCGTTTTATCACAATATAGATCTTGATTATCGATCAGATCGTCTTGCCTGGGGGCCGCCATTTTGTTTGAAACAAATACAAGTGATGGAATCGGATTGGTCCACAGGAGAGGCTCAGAAGGGACATAACTCATAATAACCACTGGTGGCGCTACAATCGAGCCCAGTAATTCCAGCCAAGTTCGGCAAGGGTGGAAACTGGACTTTTAAAGTCAGTTAACTCTCTTGCCTCGGGAAGATGTGGAACCATTGTCGATAGCATAAGCAATTCTCATGTCAGGGTATGAAGATACACCAACAGCCAGATAACCATGGTAACACATTGTAACCACCCATCACCAAGCATACTAACAGAGGAGTGTGATCTCTTTTCTAGATCTGGTCAAATATGATAACATGGGAAGTGTTCAAAATTAAGGGGTCCTTGGTCCATGAGATTTGCTTCTACAGCATAGGAATGCAGGACCCAAAAATCTGGAGTGAGTGAGTGAGTGAGTGAGTGAGTGAGTGAGTGAGTTTAACGCTACTTTCATCAGTATTCCAGTTATATCATGGTGCGTCAGCTTAATGTGACTGTAAGTCTGATGTGATGCAGGTCTCACAACATTTACCACTTTGGTGAAACCCGCAAGCACAGGTATGGTGCTGACAAACCTAGAAACATATTCGGGGCGACCCAGGATTAGAACCCAATCATAGGTTTGTGGCATGCCCAATGGACGCAACTCTGCACAGCGATTTGCAGTGCCTTACGTAACTGGGCCACCCATGGCCCTACTAAATCTTGTTAACATTCAGGTCATGACAAGGATCACTTGACTGTCATGCTTAATGTTTTAAACAATGCCTATGTCCATGATGTGATAGCCAAGACAAGGCCACCTTGGTTTGTAGCAAAGGCCATTAGCCATCAATCACATTTTACACCATCTCCTCCCAGAACAGGGACAAAGTGTCTGTGGACACCTACCATAACGAGAGCTCTCCTCATCTTCCTCCTCATGGCTATCTCTGCATCCTCGTCAGACTCGTCCTGGGGGATATCCACGTCCAGTCTACACAACATAGGAAAGCAGCATAGGAAAACAGGTTCCGACATCTTGCATTAAGTGAGTGAGTGAATCAAAACGTTAAGTCGCGTCAGCCATATTGTGCCAAGACAAAGTACTGCATTTTTATTTTCTGAAACCCTGTCCTGAGAACAGTAGTAACTATTAACATCTCAGATTTTTATTTAGAACTAGTTTGAAAAGAATTTAAGGACAGACTTTTCAACATGTTAAACAACACAAAATAGAAGTCTACAGAAATGCTATAGATCACCAGACAACAAGAGTGGGCCCCCATAGAAGCGATGAAGGCGACTTCCAGTACATCTCACACTAGGGTCTGTTACAGGGGTTGATTGAAGTTAACTGCTGGCCCATTGGGCCATGGCCAGTTAAAAATACAAGGGCATGCTGAAACGTAAAGAAGATTGCCCGTCTGGCTAGTCAAAATTTCACCCCTTCTCCATGTATGTTTTATTTTTAATTTGGATCATCTCGGTAGAATGACAACCACCCGCTATTTTGTAACGTTGTGTTCAACAACTTCTTTATTTGCTCATTAACAGCCATGAAATGAGGCAATGGAAGCTGAGATTTAATCTCAGAGTGCAGGAAAAAATGTTTCAGGGGTGAGGAGTACTAATATTTTCAGAGCCCTTCTAGGTGTCTACGTGACCTCAAGTTCATCCACTTTGCGGCCTCCACCATCTAGTTGTTAGCCAGTTAGTTTGGAGAAGAGCCAGTGACTTTTATAATGAGCAAGCCCTGCTATCTACATACAAATTAGTTTTAAACTCAAAACCCTGCTCTTGTCTACCATGTCAATAGCAAAGCTAGTGAGTTCGGCTGAATACCCCTTTAAAAGTATATCAGTTCTATGTTTCATGGCGTGTCAGTTTGATGCTGGAGGAAAGCCCAAAGTGATGTAGGTCTTAGAAGTTGGTGAATCCCAAGAGCAGGGATATGATGCAGACAATCCTAGAAACTTAATCAGGGAAAACCTTGGACAACAAACCAACAATCATAGGTTCAAGGGAAACAACTCTGCACAGTAAATTGTGACAACTTGGAAGCCTCAGATGTGTATCACCTGCGTAATGATAAGAAACACTGAGTCTGACCACCCAATCCATTTGGTCACCTCTTATGACCATCATAAGTAGTTAAGGACCTATTCTAACCCGGATCCCCAACTGGGTCATTCATAATTATGAACACGAACACAAACACCAAGCAAACTTACTCTTCACCATCAGACGATTCATGCTGCACTGTCATGCCTTCTGAGAGACTGTCCTTAAACTTGTCAGTTGGTTTCGAATAATAATCTCCGCGGCGGCGTCTCCTGTCCCGAGACCTGCTGCGATCCCGACGGTCGTCTCGCCGTCTGAAGGGGCTCCTGGACCCGTTTCTATGTCTCATCCTTCTGTCATCCTCTCTCCGTCTGTCAAGTTCCTGCCTTCTGTCACGCCGCTCATCTTCCAGCCTTCGATGTCGTTCTTCCTCCCTCTTCTCCCTATCCCGTCTTCGCTCCACCTCCCTCCGCCGCTCTTCTTCCCTCCGCTGATCTTCCTCACGTCGCCTTTCTTCGTCTCTTCTTCTGTCTTCAGCCCTCTTTTCTTCATCCCTTCGTCTGTCACCCTCTCGGTCCCGTCTCTCATCGCGGGAGGAATGCTGGCGTGAGGGTGAGGTAGAACGTTTAGATCTCCGTTCCCGATCTCGAGAACCATCTCTTCGTCTGCAATAATATTATTCTTCATGTATTCCTATCCATTCCTTGTATTAACATTTGTTTGTTTGTTTGTTGTTTAACGCCGCATTCAGCAATATTCCAGCTATATGACGGCGTCTGTAAATGATTGTGTCTGGACCAGACAATCCAGTGATTGATATCATGAGCATCGATCCAGGTAATTGGGATACGATGTCATGCATCAACCAAGCCAGCGAGCCTGACCACCCGATCTCATTAGTCGCAACAGACTTCATTAACAAACACAATCTTGCACAATGAAATATATAAACATGCTAAAATCATACCTTGAGTCCAGTTTTCACTCTGGAAACACAATCAACAAAGACTTCAATATTCACCTGTGAGGGGAACTCCTTCTCTTATTGGAGCCCACCTCAACTGAGTCGAGTAACGTATCAGCAAACTCAGTCAGACTTGGTGACCTTGACCCTCGTTCCTTGACCCCATTCTTCTGATCACGACCATGACCTCGCTCCCCACGTTGATGATGCCTTTGTGATTCTCTAGCTTCACGAATCAAATCCAATATATCATCCTTTGCATCTGCTTTGCTAGAAGATCTTTCTTTCGCTGCCCGTTTTCCTGTCGACCCTGGCTCCTCTGTGTAACTCAAGTCTTTTATTTCTCCTTCCTCCTCAGAGTCGGTACCATATCCCTGAGCAACCAGACCAATAGCATTACCGCTGTCCCCATTTAGTTCAGCTCTTAATGCTGCCCGTGCTGCTTCCAGCCTTTCCAGATCACTCTCCTCAAGCTTCCCTGGCTTCTTCTTGTCCTTCTCATCTCCGTCTCCTTTGTCGTGTTTGTGACGCTTCCGCTTGTGTTTGTGTTTATGTTTGTCGCTGGTGGAATGTTTCTTCTTATGTTTCTTGTGTTTATGCTTCTTTTTCTTTTCTTTCACAATGCCTTCATCACTACTGGCTGAATCATCACTGGAAGGAGAAACATTGAAATTTGAGAACAAAATAGTCCTGAGCCTCATGAGGTGAAATTGGGTTTAACGTCCATCCAACATTATTGCACTTATATAGCAACGTACTAGTCCGGACTGATGCTGATTAATAGTGCTAGCTCACTGAGATACCATGCCGCAGTTTAACATGAATACCCCACTCAGACACAGTATACTGACTCCGAGCCGGCCAGTCCTTGTTTTAGCCCCTTTATGGCAAGCGCCAGACAGAGTAACAACAAGTACCATCTTTTAACGTCTTTTGGTATGACGTGGCTGGGGATCGAAGTATCATCGAAACCCGGGACCTTCCGCTCTCCAGGCAGACGCTCTACCACTAGACCACGGAGGCGGTCTGAGCCTTATGACAGACTTATCTTGATATTCTATAATTAAATGTTGTAATATTAACCCAATACAGAGTCAGTCTTGTTCTTATGCTGTGTGTCACGTAATGTGTGTGTTTGTGTGTGGGTGGGGATGGGTGTTTTACATAGTTGTAGTTCCCTATATGAAATGACCCCGTCAGCCAAAGCCAGGGTTTGTTCTGTGGGACAAAGTTCATGAGTCATAGCAGAAAACAGTACTGCATCAAGACGGCACAGAATTGGCGAGAATGGAACCTGGCTTGGAAAACATTACATTTTCCTTGTGAAAGTGGAACCAAATATGCTAAGTTAAAGGTAATAGATTTAATGGGTTCCCTTGATTCAAATACCATTGGAGCAGATTTCCAGGACACTGTTTTGTTTGTTACAATCTTGCATGAAACCAATAAAATATTTGGTTGGTATGTCATATTCTAACGTACTATTCCCCCCAAAAAGGCAATGTGTATTCAAAGGACACGGACAAATTTAGCTATCATGTTTTAACAGTTTCATTCCAAACAATTTGGGGCTTGTATCATGTTTAACCACTATCCCCCTCCCCCAAAGTAAACATATAATTAATAAAACACGTGCCATTTTCCGTCAGGCAAATTCATGGTATTGACAACTAAAGCAACAATTTCAATCTACATGATCTACAAGAAAATAGCAGGACTCATGTCTAAAAAGCATAAATGTTCCTGGAGCTAACAAATGGTTCAAAACATATCAGTAATCTGCTAAAACTGGATAGTTAGGCTGGATTCTAAATCTATTAGGCTATCCTGAAAGACATCATGAAATAACCTACTTTAATGAAACGAAGTGTGGTGACCTTGCCCCTCACATACTTGTTTAACGGTTGATATCAAACAGTTCACATAGTTCAGCGTGATAACGATATGTTATACCATCGCGACTGTCCTCATTAAAAGATGCTAACTTTTACTATGAAAAAATATTCTTCTTTGATATAACGAAATTAGGTGACCTTGCTCCTCAACTGTGTTTGCCGATAGATATCAAACACGTCTCTCAGTTTTGCATGGCAACAGTACGCAATACCATCCCAACTGTTTAATGTACACTCTTTTGAAGTATTGTGTCTGTATGATAACTTGTCATAGTGTAATGCGTTACCTTATTTCAATCGGGTCATCAACATCGGCCATTTTAGAGGATCGTCAGCGCGATGTCGACTATATACTATTGTCCCTCTGACTAACTGTACTCGTAATATCGCGTCCTCGCTTTTACATGAACTATTGCGGCTACTGTTAGCGAGTTGTAATATAGATATTACTACTCTCGATTTGTTTCGATTTTGTTTATGGGAACTGCCGAAACAAAATTATATTTTTGCGTATGGCCTCGGTGTCGGTTTCAGGAGGCCATACAGTCGGTTGTATGTGGTATGCTGGGTGGTGCAGATGCGTCCCTTAGTTGTGTCAATAGTCCGATGATAGTGGGTTCGAATCCAAGATTATGCTTAGAATGTCAACACCCTTCCCGAGCTCGTGTGTTTTTAACAAAGTTGTAAAGCCGTAATAATCCGATTCTCGGATATATAACCGAAAAACTGTTCAAAGAAGCGGAAAACTCACGAACGAACGTTTGTTTCTCGGACCCGAATTGTGTTTTTGTTTCAGCCTTAAACAGCTACTTTCAATCAAAAACGTACAAAGATGTGTGTACGTCAATCTCATTAAAATCAGATCTTAGTTCTCGCTACCGCTAAACAAAGATCTGAGGACATCCCATTAGGGGTCACGTCAGAACGACCTTTCATCCGACCAATCAGAGCGTCGCTTACCAGATTATGAAAGTGACAGTCGGAATGTGATTCTTAATCTTGCAGCCTCGAAAACTTTAACACGGGGTATTCCTAACGATAGTTACGGGCTTAACGACTGAGTCCATACAATCTAGACCATCTATAAGCCATTCCAGAATGTTCTTTTGTTCAGGTTTAAAAATTTTAATCGAGAATTTGTCAAATTTGACATTAGTGCCGTAAAGCACAAGAAAGCTGCCTTCTGATTGGCTAATGTCGACTTCTTGTCAGTAATTCCATTGGTCGGTCAAAGTTCGCGAAAGGTCGGTTTGACGTGACCTGTAACAGGGTGTCCTCAGATCTTTGTTTAGCGGTAGCGAGAACTAAGATCTAATTTTAATGAAATTGTGTATACGTGTTCATCCCGGGCCTTCATCCCAACCAAGCAGTCAAAGACAGGGGTCATGTGTAACTGGTTCCACTATTGGATCTTGTTTGCGCTGTCGGCCGGCAGGGTACACGCGTTCAAAGAGAGACCGCTAGACAGGAGCCAAGTCAATGCACAAACATGAACTCAATCTCCTAACACCAACACCGGTTCCCAAGTTGGTACCGGAAGCGTACATAACAGCGCTGGTGTACGGCATGATAGTTCAGTTTCTCATGTGACCAGGTTCTCTGCCTATTGTTCTCCATGTTACGTCACACCTTTGCATTGCATCTCAGGGGGTCTTATCAAAAGTAGAACGTGAGGTTTTGTCAAGTGAGGCCTAATTGACACGTAAATGCGGGCTATATATCGCGGACGAGATTCAACCCAAAAAAAGAACGAGAATCTGTACTTTACTCACAGTGTTATCCAAAATACAGTATTTGTTACATTTGACCACTTTCCAAATGACATTGTGCGTTTATAGCTTTCGGCCATGGGAGCCGTGCCAATTTACACTTGTCAAAGGGGTACACAAAGTGCGTACGTCATCTAGACTACCAGTTGTTGGACTTCTCTTTGTTGGAAGCCTCGGTGGCTACGTGGGTAGATTGCTTGCGATCAGGCGCCTCACTCAAAGTGGGTTCGCATCCCGGACGGGACTCAAACGAAAAAGTAGTTTATATCCCAAATATAACATATATTACATCTGACCACTTATTAAATGACATTATGTGTTCATATATATACAGTTGTATTTGGTTTCGATACAAACCTTTTGCTTTGAGAGAATATTGATTCAGTGTTTTTAGCAAACGTTTCTGTTTTTGCCTTCCCTTCAGCCGAGGACGTATATATCTTCGCCCAGTATGTTTCTTCTAACCCAATATGACACCGTATACGGCAACTAAAGACACCATAACTAATAATATACATTTTTAACACAGCTCATTTAGGGTAAATGTTATATAGGTGTGTTTAACTTGTTTCCCAATACAAAAAGTGCAACTCCTTGATTGTAGTTTAATTTATTTAAGGCTGGATTTCATCATAATAAACGGTCGCTCTGCGGTCATTGAAGATAATGAGCGAAGCGTACCATAAATGTACAACCTTGCTTGCACAGAGTCACTGAGAGGGTGGGGTTGCAGAACAGCGAGCAGATGTTTAATGTGTGTGCGGTTGTTGTCATCCCAGTTTGATAACGATGTAAGAATTTTTTTTTTTTAGTAAACATATTTTATTGTCCAAAAAGACAAAGGTACCACTTCTGACTACCTTCTCCCTAAGAATCTACATCGAAGCGTCGTTAAGTGCAATAAACAAGTAGTTGTTATCCATTTCTTAATTCTTATTCCTAATTACTTTAGTCAGTACTTCTGGCCATGGCCCAAGTATACGAGAGTATATGAAACATAGAGTGCGTTCAGACACCAAGAAGAAAAGTTGCTCTTTAAAATCCTAAACATGAACCTATACATAGTATTTCTTGATATATGTATTTTTTTAGTTTAGTTTACTAAGCCACTGTGGGTGTATTTATATGTCAACATTGTGGAAGTCGTGAGTGATTTTATTAATAATGGTTCAGATGAGAAATTAGGGAACAAAATAATATCTGATATATACACCCATTATTCTAGCTTAGACCCCGAAAGAGATTATTATCTGTAAATAGGAATATTCACTAGCTCTTTTCTTCGAAATTTGAGAAATATTTAGGTTGTGATTATACGAAGAAGCTAAAGTTATATTTGAAAATACCATTTCTTCCTGGAAGAATATACAAACGCTTTAAACAAACAGAAATCAATGTGCTATGTTCCCCCAAAATGAATCTGACTCTGACTCTAACTCTAAAACTCTACTTGTGTGTTAAACAATGGATTAGTAAATTTAGTTAACAGCTAAAGAAAGAAATAATATTTGTTGTGAATGTTGTAAAAGGAATACAATGACGATTAGATTAATGTTTTGTGTATTTAGAAACCACGTTTTCTTCTTATTCATTTAATGACATGATATTCGTGTGTACATGGTTCAGACTAAATGGTACAAGATAAGTTGTCACTGAACAGCTGCCGCAATATTTCAACTGCAATAAGTTTTTACGAAACTAATAGATATTTTCGGAATATTCCGGAATCCTTCGTATGACCTAAATATAGATACTTCCGGTGACGTCACTATCAGCAACCTCGAAGTGAGTAACAAGTCACAAGAAAGGCAGTCAGCTCTATCTCAGGAGACGAAAACAAGTTCAATTTCCTATTCGCTTTTAGTCGACAACAGGAATCAAGATGAAATTCAAGTTTAAGGAAGAGCACACATTCGGTAAGAAGCGATACGATTAAAAATATCATCGAGAAGACGTGTAATTGTATCAACAATAGTGGTTTGTTTTTGTTTTGTCAAATGTAAACAATCCCACATGCAAACCAGATTACACCTACGTTTGTGTTTATAACAATGCTGATAAACTATCAGATACAAAGGTTGCCAGCTGTTGTCCTGTTGTTAAGAATCTGTCATACAATGTCGATTAAAGATTTCTGAAATCAGGTGAAGACATACACTATGAACCTGACAAAAATGTATATGTCTATTGTCTTCTACCAAATGTTCACAGTAATGGCAATGAATAAGCCTTATGTCGAGCTGATCCTAATTACAGAAGAAACAGGGGTTGATACGGAATTAGGTATGATTTGTGATAATGTATTATCCTACACAATCACTGCACTAGGAAAAGTCTATTGTCCTGTCTGCTACCAACAGTTGACAGCAATGACAGTCCCAAAGACTAAGGACTCCATGGCAAGGCCTATGCCAAACATCTAGTTAAGTTTAACTACAGAAGAATCATTGGATGATGCGGCATTAGCGATGATTTGTGTTGATTTATTGTCCTGCACAATCACAGTCGTTAAATGCCGCACCTGGTAATATGTCAGATATGTTCGGCAGTCAGTAAAATGGGAAATATGTCAACACTTATTCCAGTGTTTGAACTGAAGTGTGAAAGTCAAGGGTCCTTGTGATGACCCTGCCATTATAAGCTAAAGATCCCAGGATTCAAATACCACTTTCTCAAGAACCCCCGAGCCCCCTTTAATTTCGAACTCTGCTAAATAGTCTGAATTTGATCAATATCATCAGACATTGTGGGGCTCCCATTACTTACCATTCTCTTTTTCTTTCTTTCACACAAAACCACATTAATCACATACTTTATTAGCACGTATTAATCACATGTTAGAGCAGAGGTCACACCCAACTTTAATATGACTACACACTAGCAAGCAGCGAGAGAAAAACCAACAGCAATGTTACTTATTTAATATACACATCCTCACGCATTTGTGATGAAAGGATTTGATTTTTAGGCTTTTGAATATGTTATGTCATGACCATATTTCTTTGTTGTGTCTGTGTCGCTCTTGGTTAGGTATCTGTATAGGGAGAAAGTGTGGTTATGACCTGTACAAGACTTGTTTCTTATGTTATGACAATGTATAATCATGATAATGAACCAGTTACCTTGTGTGTAAGAATGTGTTGAATGTCTATGTATATCTTACCTGTATGTTGACCTTTACTGGTGCCTTTGGAACAAATGTTAATACAAAGGTTCTTTTTGTATGGAGTGAGTTGACAAACCAGGTAAGGCACAAAACAGTCTGTTCTGTCATGACCACAGTCACTTTGATGTCTCTGTTTGACAATCTTTCTTCACTATGTCTTTTTTGCAGAACAAAGAAAAGCTGAGTCAACAAAGATCAAAACAAAATATCCAGAAAGAATTCCGGTAAGACAACCATTTTAGAATATGCCTCCTTCCCCCCAGTGTCCATGATCCAGACGGCTATTGCTAATGTAGTGTTTGCATTTTAGGAAGTTGTCTGGTCATTAACAGATGTGATTTGAACTGTTGACCATGGCTCTCACAATTAGGTCTCTAGATGCAACCATTATGTTGCAAACATGGCAAAAGCAAGATAAGACTTACACTCACATGGAATTTGCAGCATAAATATACCTTATTCATCATGATAAGTATGTTTGGAAGAAATATGTCACGATGATTATGTTAGCAGGATGTGAACAAAGCAATATGGACAATGATGTGAATTGTTTCTTTTGGGTGAAATGCACATTTACTGATATTGCTTGTCATGCTTTTGGGCATGTTTTCCTTTGATGGTGATCACAGGGCCACGCTGTACTTAACATGAAGAACATTAGGATCAGCTCTAAACTTGCATACAGTCACTGTGTCGTCACACCAAGGTCAATCCAGGGGCCATTATTCTGCCAAGGTCATTGAATGTCAGTGGGATGCTAACTATGAAAACATGAGACTTGTAATTTGTTTTATGGAAAACATCTTGATTGAAATGAATGATACAGGGGCAAGAAGAAACGTAGAAACCTCGTTAAAAATAAAACAAAACATTCACAAACCTTAGCATGCTAAGAGGTCTTCATTTTTTATTTATTCAATATATATTTGATTATTTATTCGTGTGAAATGGAAACAATTTCCCAGCATTCCGAGTTGTTTGACAGTGACAGATGCTTGTGTGATAATCAGGTGGCCACGGTTGTTACATCACCCCCACATCAGTGCTTCAGTGACCATCATGGTCGTCCTGCCTGGGGATTAGTCAGGGAGCATTAGGTGGTCAGTGTGTTCAATGAGGCGTGACGGCTACTGCTCAAACCTAGCTGGAGGCCATGTTGTGTGAAGCCTCCAAATTAGTCATGTCAACATCAACTTTAGCATGTTTTAACTCTTGTAGTCAATAGAATAGGTAATTGGTCTCTTGTCTCGTTGTAGTTTTGTCATGTGTGAAATGATTGGAAAACAATGCTACTCGTGCAGGATCAGGTATCTTGTGTAATGGAATTATCTTGAGATTGTCATCCATGTTGGCATGTTTGATGTTAATAACATATTTCTGGTACCAGCCATTATCCCAAACTGTTGATAAGGAGTTGATTGTCATGGACCCGTTTCAAGAAAACTATTTGGAAAATACTGTTACACCTAGTCTTGCTTTTGAAAAATCAGTTATTTATTTATTGTGATCTGCATAAGTGTGCCTACTGGTTTGATTTTGTCATCAATGTGCGACGCTCACTGTCGTTTGTGGAAGTGTTATAACAACATTAATGAAGTCAGTCTTTCGCGGGTATGAAGCTGTGAAACCAATAATCATAGTTTTAGATTCAAATAATTCAAGATATGGCATTTTATATTAGGTATGGGGGGGGCACGGGTGGCCCAGTCGTCTAAGGCGCCGCGATTCGCTGTATAGAGTTGCGTCCCTTGGGCACGCCAGAAACCTATGATTGTGGGTTCGAATCCCGGTTCACCCCGATTATGTTTCTAGGTTTGTCAGCACCATACCCGTGCTCGTGGGTTTCACCGAAGTGGTAAACATCTGAGACCTGCATCACTTGTGGCTTTCCTCCCACATTAAGCTGACACACCGCGATGTAACTGGAATACTGTTAAAAGCGGCTATAAACCCAACTCACTCACTCACTATTAGGTATGGATAGTGTTATTGATGTGATATACCAATCCGATATATAAACTTGGTGTCATGGCTGCTTAGAAAGGGTATACCCCACATGTCACTGTTTTTCTTTAGTAAAAAATATTAAAATGTCATGTGTCACGATCTGTAAATACATGCTCGGTGTACATGGTGTATGTATTCATACACTGTTCCTAAAGTTACTTCTTCAATGAATGAAATAACATCTTACACATCTATTATTTTGAGTTTAACATTATATGATCAAGATGTTATTCCCTCATGTGTACCCATATCATAAATGTCAATCAGGAATACAAAAAATGGTATGGTCGTGATTATGCTCGCCAATAAGTGCATGACACATAGTCTAAGGACTGTTGACTGACATAAATTACCTGGTTAAAGTTACACACTGGGTGCAGCCGGTGACTCAGCTTGGGGGGTTGGATTTGTATTTTGTCAGCTAGTGCTTCAAAACCGGACATATTTTTAATCTCTGAATTCAACATATGGGCCAAAATGTAATTTTAAGAACACAAACGTCTTGCAACAGTGTATTATTTTTTCAAAAGACTGAGGCATAATCATTTTTTCAAAATCCCCTACCCCACCCCCACCACCTCAATGTTTACTCGTCCTAATTGTACTGACCTTGTCACAATGTTTGCCCCTGATTGTACTGACCTTGTCACAATGTTGCCCCTGATTGTATTGACCTTGTCACAATAATGACCCTGCCCTGATTGTACTGACCTTGTCACAATGTTGCCCCTGATTGTAATGACCTTGTCACAATAATGACCCTGCCCTGATTGTACTGACCTTGTCACAATGTTGCCCCTGATTGTACTGACCTTGTCACAATGTTGCCCCTGATTGTACTGACCTTGTCACAATGTTGCCCCTGATTGTATTGACCTTGTCACAATAATGACCCTGCCCTGATTGTACTGACCTTGTCACAATTTTGCCCCTGATTGTACTGACCTTGTTACAATGTTGCCCTTTCCCTGATTGTACTGACCTTGTCACAATGTTGCCCCTGATTGTACTGACCTTGTCACAATGTTGCCCCTGCCCTGATTGTAACAAACTTAAACTGACAGTGTCACAATGTTGCCCTTTCCCTGATTGTAACTGATAGTGTCACAATGTTGCCCCTGATTGTACTGACCTTGTCACAATGTTGCCCCTGATTGTAACTGACAGTGTCACAATGTTGCCCCTGATTGTACTGACAGTGTCACAATGTTGCCCCTGATTGTACTGACCTTGTCACAATGTTGCCCCTGCCTTGATTGTAACTGACAGTGTCACAATGTTGCCCTTTCCCTGATTGTACTGACAGTGTCACAATGTTGACAAGTAACCCCCCAACTTGTGTTCCAGGTGATAGTGGAGCGGGATCCCAAGAGTCAGATCCAGAACATCGACAAGAGAAAATTCCTAGTTCCAAATGACATCTCAGTGGCTCAGTTCATGTGGATTATACGCAAACGCATCCAACTTCCGTCGGAAAAAGCCATCTTTCTGTTTGTAGGGAAAATATTGCCTCAGTCAAGGTGAGTAGGCGTGTTGCCATTGTAACATGTGTAGCTAGAATCTTGCCCCTTTGTTTAGATGTAGGGATATAAGTTATAAGCACAGGAACCATCCCCTGTTCTCAGTGGGAATTGTGGGGTCTCTATTTTCTCATGGCTGTAGGAAGTGCAAACGAAATGAGGATTGGATGGCCACAGTTTATGACAAGGTTGACATATCCAAATATTTAATTCCTTCTTGTTGCTTCAGTGTGCTGCTCAGCTGTTTAAGGGAAAGTCAAGATCAGCCCTAATTTATCTGTCCTGGGTGAATTAACTTTGGATGTTCCAAGTCTTGGCAAGTTGCCACTAGGTTATCATTTATTACCTATAGGCTTTTTTCTGCAAAAGTGAATCAAAGTGTGGTTTTGTTGATCTCAAGTTGACACATCAGCTCTGTTGGGCTATTGTTTGAACCCCATCATATAAAATCACTTACCATCATGTTGATGACGTCATGAGTAAATGAGTATGGTTTTACGCCGCTTTTAGCAATATTGCAGGAATAACACGGCGGGTGACACCAGAAATGGGCTTCACACATTGCACCCACAATATGTACATTGGTACTATGTGTGAAGCCCATTGTCCCCCGCCGTGATATTCCTGCAATATTGCTAAAAGCGGCGTAAAACCAAACTCACTCACTCACCCTATGGATGATGTCCAACCCTACTTTTATCAATTATGTATATATAGATATCGTAATAAGTATGGAATATATCAGTGTCCCTCAAGACGTCAGCAGTATATATTAGCCTGTGTGGCCTGCTACAGTAGTATGTATCATTGTTTATTGATCCACTGGATCAGAGTGAATCACCCACACTTCTGTCTCTCCAGTCTGTGAAGGTATTGTGGAGACCCACTTGCTTTATCATCTGGATGGCAAATCTATATCACTGATCAATAGGTCCGCATTTCAACAGCACTTCACATCAAGCACTGTATGCAATATTTCAATAGCCGCATACTGACCTGAAACATTTTTTTTCCGAAGCAACATGAAGCAAGTCTACAATACTTCGGCGAGTCTACATTATTCAGTTGCTGCAAATGAGACGCTTTGGGGACATTTATAAATATTGCATCAAAAGTCTTAAAACATAAACATGTTAGTTTAGTTTTTTTGAAGCGATAGCTAGACTCACATTTGTTGTAAGCAATGATAATATAAAGAATATTTGTCTTGTTGATAACCTATTTATTTAGGGGTGTCCAGGTATGCCCACTTTTGACTCACTCACTCACTCACTCACTCACTCACTCACTCACTCACTCACTCACTCACTCACTCACTCACTCACTCACTCACTCACTCACTCACTCACTCACTCACTCACTCACTCACTCACTCACATATATTTCAGTTGACTTAACAAGAGCCTGATTGAGTCAATGACACATATTAATCACATCTACTGACTTTATTTCAGTGCAAGCATGGGCCAAGTTTATGAAGATCACAAGGATGAGGATGGGTTTTTGTACATAGCTTACAGTGGAGAAAACACCTTCGGCTTGTAGCCATGTCAGCAGTCTGACCGAAATGTTTCATTGTTTCCCTTCAAGTTGGAAGATTTGAGATGGGAAGCTTACCTGATGCTGATAGCATGGATAGGAAGTGCAATGCATTCATGGCAGAAAAAAAATGTGATATCTTTGTTGAAAGTTAACATGGTTAAAGTTTTTTTTGTCTTGTACTGTACTAGTGTTGATTTGTGATTCAATGTATGTGTTTGCATTCCGGCTCTATTTGTAACCATGGTAACCAGGCACAAGGAATCCAACATTCCCTCTTCACAAACAACAGACTCAACGATGGCCTCAAATTCCCTGTTTTATCATTTGTGAACAGTTTTCATATTTTATGGTACTATGTAACCATGGTAACATGGTTCAAATGTTTGAAGCTCCTGTCTCTCACAAGACCGGTTTTATATTTTGTATTTTGTAAAGGGAGGGAATTAAAACCTGACTTACATTGTATTATGAGTTCAATATGAGTATGGTTATTTAGCGTATTTCGCTGAAGACCAAACAGCCTTACATCCAGTACTTACTGAGTCAAGTATTATCATATGTCAGATGTAGTATTAAATTATTGTTTTAAATATGTTGTTTTATGAAACTATATACATTTCTGTACAGGGAGTAAATGATTTTCCTTTTGTTTGTAAACATATCTTTTCCACAAGGGTTGAAATACATTTCAAGTATTAATATAAATTATTAGCTGCTATCGACAATATGGAATTCATATACTAGTCCAACTGTTATCCTATACTTACCATGCTTAACACTAGTTAATATCCAGGGCATGTAGCATGCATGCAGTGTTAGTGAGCTTCACTACAGTGGAGGTATCAAAGTACAGCTTACATTGAGGTATGTTTAGGTGATTTGCTGACTGATTGCATGGGATTTGAACCTGTTCATGTTGAAAGGGTGTTATCAGTTGTCCTCCTGTGAGATGGGAAATTTGTCTCTAAGTTAGGAAATTGTATTTGTGTTATTTCTTTGGTTTATGTTGTGTAAGTATTGGGATATATACTCAAATTTGAAATAATAAAAGGTGTTCATGGTTTGAGATCTGGGGTGAATTTTGTCATAGTTAGTTTTTCACATACATTTTGACATAGGTTTTTTAAACATTTTTTTCAATTCATTCCAGTCAGTTCGAAGGTAATCTACTGGGAACATCGTTCACTGTGAATGGCTAAAATGTTCAGGATATTGTGGAATAGCACCTACTCACATGACCTTTACACATGACCTTTACACATGCTTTGTGTACCTGTGTGCGTGTAGACAACTTATGGTCTCTGAAATTAAAACACTTTAAGATTATTCATTTCATAAATTGTCTTAAAAGATGTAATAGAAAGGAGCCCTGATGCTGGTATGGGATTGTTTTATATCACTGTGTCGAGGCCTGTATGAGAGAGTACTGCAGGACCCACTTGCACAAAACGATCTTAGTGCTAAGACTATCGTAAGCCTATGTTAATGTATGGGAGTTAAGGGAGTTAAGATCATCTTAGCGCTAAGATCACTTTGTGCAAGTGGGCCCAGGCGTTTGCCTGTTTTGGGCCCCTAGTCTGTAAATGTCACCCCAAATTGGAATTTAAATGTTACCAATTTGTGTTAACATGGGTAACATTGTGACATCTAATGTGAGTGCTTGCTCAGGTCAACTTGATTTCCCTGATATCAGACCCAATAGAGGGAGGGTCTGTGATGCTTTGAATGTGATGTTAATATTCAATGTTAAAAGACTTCTGAATTTCACAAAATAGGAACCGAGACAACACCCAAATGTAGGACATCCCCCAGTTTCCTTGCCACAGGCTCGTAGTCTGGAATCCTAGATAAGACCCTGGGATGGAAGTGTATTATTTCTTATTCTTGCATCTTCACTATATCTTGCCTTAAGCGACAAAGCTTGCCTTTCTAGTCAGAAGAGCTTTGTCAGTTGAACAATTTCAACATACAGCTTCCAGTATAAGACATTTTGCGATCTTGCATAAAGTTAATACCAGTTGTGATCCTGCTGAAGCCAAAGCTGTGGTAATGCTATTCTTCCTGTGGAGATTTCATATGATCAACCATACTGACTGACTTCCTGTAGTTTGGCATAACCAGCATCAAATGTATTTTGTTATGTTTTTTAATGAAGCAGGGCTTGTAGTGTGATATTGGTAGTGGTTTGTGTTTTCCAGCTGACATTTCCAGTCTGATGATCATATGTTTGCAATTTTTTTTAGGGGAAAAAGTTTTGAACTTTATGAAAGAAAAGTGTTTGATAACGTTATGAAAAACATTTCTGCCGGTTCAGTTTGCATGTTTAAATGTGATGTATTGATTGTTGTGGCATATTTACGGTGTTGCTCGTAATCTCACCACCATTTTCCATATCTTATTCAGAAGGGTTTGTATGGTTTTGTGTTGAAAGGAGGTTTAAGTGGGAGTAATCGACGTTCATCACCTATGGTATTCGCCAGGCAGGTGTTCGTGACCTGGACAGCGGTATAGGCCACGTCATGGTAAAGTAAGTGGTGGCACATAACAGACATATTTTTCTGTCTCAACTAAACCCTTCTGAGCAAACCAATAAGCTCCAGTTGGCATGTGACCAGAGATGAAAGTCACAATCATAACATAACAGACAGTTAAATGTTATTATTACCTTGACCTTGACCTGATGGAGGATGAGAATCAGTTCCTTCTTCACAACTCCTACAAAGAACTTACTTCACCCTTCAGATACTGATAGGTCATGTACCCGGTAGGCTCCGGCCAATGCAAATGTCTTATTAACAGAACAAAAGCTTGAAAGAAGTAAATATTTATTACAAATACTAAACATCAGCTCTGTCGACAGTATTGACTTTTATTTATTTATCTACTACACTGACTGACCCAAACAGTTTTGTGCCAAACAAGATATTAAAATATCGAGCCACTTAACGAATGTTTCTGTTTAGTATTTCGACCAAGCCGAGGTAATTAGCTTGCAGTAATATGTAAAGAGTACCATCAAAAAAGTTGCCACGATGTCTGTTTAAATTATTTCTACCAGGTAACAGCATTGTCAGAACCAGTTGAGGTTAAACTGCAAAAACATACAATTTCAAATCCATGCGTTAGGGTAAATCTATGGATGCCTTTGAGGGCTATTTGTTGTTTTAGTTTTTTGTTGAAATTTCAAGATACATACTAAGTTGAAATTTCAAGATAATGATCTTGAAATTTCAACTTATTATGTTAAAATTTCAAGATGCTAAAATGAAATTTCAAGATGCTAAAATGAAATTTCAAAATGCTATGTTGAAATTTCATGATACTAAGTTGAAATTTCAAGATATGTACTAAGTTGAAATATTAAGATTTTAAGTATCTTGAAATTTCAAGAAAAAAACCAAGTGGTCCTAAAAGGCTTCCATATCAATCTGTTTTAGATAATGTATTTTTATGTGACCAGGACCCACATGTATAATGCACAGCTTTGTCTGGACCTAAGATTTGTTTGTGCACCTGGTCCCTATGCAACTGTAGTTCTAAGGCCATCAGACAACCAGGTTCCTAGTGTATGCCTGTATCCAAGGCACATTGTGCTTGAATCTTGTATGCTGATAGTGCATATTTGCAAATTGCCTGTGGTAAATATATATATATATATATATAACATACAACGCTCCAAAACATACGTTGGAGGTTGTGGTTTTAAGTTCCTGTGTGTGACACTGTACTAAAGTTGCCAATTATGTCCAACCGTCTTTCAATTTGGTTGGGCGAGCCCTGTTTTACCTCACACTCTGCCTGACATCATTATCCTGGAGACCTCTGAAGAAATTAAAGACCAAAGCGACGCTGTTTCAGCTGTTTCAGTCTTTCACCAATGTCCATTCCTGGGATTGTGTTGTTTGAAGGTGTCAAGGTGGGAACGCTTGTCACGGTCCAGTTGCCTTGTGTCAGACGTACTCATGCTTTGTGAATAAAATGTTCTAACTTATTAATATTCTGTATTTTCTGTCCGCGGAAGGTGTCAGTGTAATGATGGTAACGTGTTTGGAGAGGGTGGGTCAGGTTTCTGTTTGAAACAAATGAAACAAATTCATTTCCGTAATCATAAGAAATCTCTTCAAAACGAAGAGTTCAATGGACTGTTCCGAATATGTCATCAGCATGTGTTTCAGAATCACTATAAGACATAGTGATGAAGCCAGGTGTTCTTGAAAAGGTGTGTATCCTGCTCTGTCCATGATGGCCATTACAAACACATGCAATGGCAAGTCAATTGTAAATCGGATAAACACTGGAACATTCTGTAAAAGTGAAAATGGGGAATTACATCATTGTAATTCTATTTCAAAACATATCCAACTTTTGCAATATTATTGCCATAGCATACTGGATAACTTTACTTTCCCACGAACCAATACAGCCTCACAGGTGCGTCAATTCCTAGTTTCAACAGATAAGAGGAAGACATCGAGACACACCCAGAGGCTGGAAGACCCAAACAAACAGGTGACCTAGATAGTCACAATTTTATTACTTTGTGTACAAAACACAAGTTTTATAACTACCTGTTAGCACGTATGAGTAGCAAAATCCCCGGCCAGAAATTGCAGCTGATGTAACAGTAGTTTGGGATTGTGAGCAGTGCATGGAATGAGTGGTCGATGACTTTCTTCAAGGTTGTTACTTACATTCACTGTAAATCTATGAGCGTGTTCTGAATATTTAACCACCCGCCCTGTATCTTCAAACAAGTTGTATTTGGATTCAATCAGAAAGGAAAGTAACTGACCACATCACCTCACACTTCTCTCAACCTAAAGAGAATAAATCTTTGTGCAGAGCTGCGCCCCTTAGTCGTGCCAGCATCCTGTGATCGTGGGTTCAAATCCCTGATCGCCCTGATTGTGTTTCTGGATCTGTCAGCAGAATACCCCAGAATTCTTTTTCCAAAGTGCACATGCATCACTTCATACATGCCTCCCACATCAAGCTGACTCAATATGGTTTGGCTCAATACCGTTCAAGGTAGCGTTAAACCAAACTCCCTCACTAACTACTGGTACACGAAAGGTTGTTCTGACGTGACCTGTAATGGGATGTCCTCGCCGAGAGCGAGAACTTGTATCTGATTTGAATAAGATTGAGGTAATCTAAGCATGCGAATTATCCTGTTTTCTTTATTTAAAGCAGTAATTGTTGATTGTTAAGCAAGTTTATCTCTGCAGCCGTTGTAACATGCAGATACCAGCCGATTCGTCTCGCATCAAAACACGGGCTGTATACTCGCGGGCAGATGACCAAGGAGTACGCTGATCACTGTGTCGGATTAACGAGACTGATTAATGAGTGATTTCTGTAATTTGTTGCAAATTAGGTGTGTCGGAGTCGGAGTGCGAGATTGTCGGATTAACGGGACTAAATAGCACTGATTTAATCGGTTCCCATCATTAGTGTCGGATAAAGCCGATTGTCGGATTAACGAGGCTTGACTGTATATAACAAAGCATTTGTTGTCAGTAACCCATCCCCTGCATCCCAGCATCATACCAACACACGGACATATCTTTTTTCTAAAGAAAGTGCCTGCCTGATGTTTTTTCGATTTTTTCGAAAGCGTTTATGAACAATTAATATACATATTTCTATCAATAATTCAAGTTTCAGTTTTAAAAAGTACTTGTGTTGGAGAGACTGAACTGCTGAAACCAATTTTCTGAATAACTGACAGTAATACACCAAACTTGTAGTTAAAATTAGACGTGTGTTTTGGTATCAGTAATGTAGATGAAATATTTCTTTAAGTATAGGTTGTAGGTAATGAACTATTACGTTGTATTTTTACTTGTAACCGCAATCAATTTAAAACTTATATTTAAGAAACCGTTTCCTTGTGAACATACGGTTTGTACATTTGTTCCTACGTTTGTTTACGGGGAGCCTTAGACGCTTGCTTGTCAACGGTATATGGATCTATGCTGGTGCGTCGCATCATAATAGAATAAAGAAGTTGTCCTCCATAAAATATATTTACAGTCCTATTTGGAAAAGGTTACAGTATGAACACAACCGGAATGAGTATTTGTCAATAATACGTCACTTTTAGGAATATTCGGTTATCCCTAGATGCAAGAACTAAACCTTCTAGTAGGATTAAATGGCGGATGTATTCATGAATTTTTTTTTATTCCCGCCTTTGGCAACCGAGCCCAAACAATTAATGCCTAGCCCACACGTTGTCGAAAAAGGTTTAGTTGAATGTTGTAGACATAACCGGCTTGCCTCCACCTGACAAGCCATGATATAACTTTTGTTTGTTTGTTTGTTTGTTGTTTAATGCCGCATGACGGCGGTCTGTTAGTAATCGAGTCTGGACCAGACAATCCAGTGAGTGATAGCATGAGCATCGATCCACGCAATTGGGATCGATGACATGCATCATCAACCACGTCAGTGAGCCTGACCACCCGATCCTGTTAGTCGCCTCTCACGACAAGCATAGTCGCCTTTTACGGCAATCATGGGTTGCTGAAGACCTATTCTACTCCGGATCTTCACGGGCCACATGATATAACTAATACTATTGAAAGCGGCGTTTAACCAAACTCACTCACTGTACATTTCCGTTATTTCACCTTTTTCCTGGTCTTTTAATTTTCTTGTCGAAGAACACTTCCCATTCCGAGCAGCTAAAACACTCACTGACTCTACGATTCTGATAGTTTACCTTATTCCTGGTCTTTTAATATTGGTAAGTCGAAGAACACTCTCCATTCCGAGCAGCTAATACGTCATACACCTAAGCTAACGTTAGCAACCAACCAGGCGGTTATGAGCCGTTATCGCCGAGATGGAACCGTTTATCGCAAATTCAAAGCTTACAGGGGCGTCACCGCTTGGCCGCCATGGGTTTAGGTAGCAGCGCTCCGATTCCACCACAGACCTCGTCTCGCATCCCCCTGTCGGTACCTGCTCGTGGAACAGTTGTCTTGGAGCCGTCAGGAGGAAGCATGGTGCCAACGACGAGGGGGAGGTGTTGATAGTTGCAGTGGCCGGATACATATAGTTTGAGCGAAAGAGGACAACACACATTGGGAAAATGGTAAGTGTTCCTGAAGTGATTGTTTTGGTATAAATCTCTGTTGTAGTACTTTATGTTACTAGAACGCAGCTTTGGGATTCAAGGTTCACGAGCAAGTGTAAACACTGATATGGAAACGTTGTAGAGTTCCCGCGTTGGAATACGGGGTCGTTTGGTGCTTGGCGGCCATGGGTTCTTGGTTTCAACGCTGGGTTAAAACCAACATCTTGTCTCTGAAATGAACATATTTTACAGAAAAAACAGTTGTTCAATTATAGTTATAACATATATTAAAAAGGAGCCAGGAGACTTTCTATACTGCAGTAATCTAGACTTGCCAACATTATATACGTGCATGGGCTGTATGACAGAGTACGCTGGGTTCTGTTATATGTGTTTGTGGAGATTATTCACATTGCACGCATAAACATTGGTTCCTGAAAAATCTGAATTACTTCTTCTTTTGTTAAAAAACCGATTCGTGTATATTCCGTAATGGAGTGCCTCTCTGTGTCGGCCGTTAGTGGTTACAAGCGCAGCGCGACGGGTTACATTTATGTAACATCACCTGCAAGTTATATGAGGTAGAGTTGATGTAGCTTGTCCAGGTTTGTGTGACATTAACGCTCTACTAAGAGACCCAAATCCGTTTCTTGTGTATAGATTTACATTAAAATACAGCCGAGTAACCTTCGAACTCTTATGTCGCTTTGGGGGCTATAGTTAGACCAACATATAGTCCCCGATATATACTGACGTTTGAGGTTAAATACAAATAATTCTATAAAAGAACCCTCGTGTCCATTATATCAGAAAGTGAACAGGTCCATTAAACAGGTGATGGGAACAGGCTGCTGGAGTAAAACATGGGATGAGTATGGCACAGCATTTTCACTTTTACTGAATTGCTGATATATCCAATCGTTTTGAAGAAATCTTGAAATCAACTAGAGATAGCTTGAATTGCATTGAAGAAGTAATTTCTAATATGATTATATACATTATGATGATAATCTTTTTTGCGATATCTTAAATGCATATACAGAAAACTACGTTTATAACGAACACGCTTATAACGAACTGACGGATATAACGAACTTACTTTTTTGTCCCCACTATTTGCTGTAATTATGCTGTATATGTGCTTATAACGAGCTACGGTTATAACGAACTAAAATTAGTGGTCCCTTTGAGTTCGTTATAACCGTAGTTTACTGTATATCTTACGAAATATATAGTTACATAGTTATATAATTTATATCACATTGACATTTAAGATATCAGTAATTGTATTTCGAATATCGGAATATGAGAGTTGGGAAGTGGTGAAGGGGTGCACGGGTGGCTCAGCCGTCTAAGGCGCCGCGATTCGCTGTAAAGAATTGCGTCCCTTGGGCACGCCAGAAACCTATGATTATGGGTTCGAATCCCGGTTCGCCCCGATTATGTTTCTAGGTTTGTCAGCACCATACCCGTGCTCGTGGGTTTCACCGAAGTGGTAAACGTCTGAGACATGCATCACTTGGGGCTTTCCTCCCACATTGAGCTGACCCGCCGTGATATAACTGGAATACTGTTAAAACCCAACTCACTCACTCACTCAGTGGTGAATGCTGTAGGGGTCTGTATGAGAGACGAGGTTAGTGCGTGTTGAGAGATAGTTTCTGTGTATGCTTTAAAATATGCATGTCGTGCTGTTAATATGATAGACCCGAGAAGATCCGGGTTAGACCATGGCGACTAACGGGATTGGGTTGTCGATGATGCATGCCATCGTATCCCAATTGCGTATATCGATGCTCATGATATCGACCACTGGGTTGTCTGGTCCAGACTCGATTATTTCAGACCGCCGTCATATAGCTTGAATACTGGTGCGTGCGGCGTTAAACAACAAACAAACAAACAAATGTTAACATAAGCAAAGGATAAGAATACACGAAGTGAGGAATATGTGTTTGACATCCGCGTTTATCCGGAGGTTACTTGAGATTGTCTTGCTGTGTAACGACGGTCGCAAAGGAAGGCATTTGCCAGGTGATAACGGACGATAACGGCACGACATAGACCATCGTGTCACATTGCGTGTCGATGTATTGATATAAAACACAGCCGTAAACATCGACATAGATACAATAGGTCACCGAAGTTCTCTTTGCCTTCATTTCCGTTATTAATACGTGCACAGAATACAATAGTAGGGTTATTTCCTTGTTGGTGTACGTGAACATGTGTGTGATGTGTGGTGTCTGATGTGTCATGTCCTATCGGGTCAGTAAATCAAAGCTTGACTTCCTCATCGACCGAGACCGCCTCCGTGGTCTTGTGGTAGAGCGTCCGCCCGGAGAGCGGAAGGTCCAGGGTTCGATCCCGGGCCGCGTCATACAAAAAGACGTTAAAAGATTGTACTTGTTGTTACCCTGTCTGGCGCTCGGCATTAAGGGGCTAAAACAAGGACTGGTCGGCTCGGAATCAGTATACTGTGTCTGAGTGGGGTATTCATGTTAAACTGCGGCATGGTATCTCAGTGAGCTAGCACTATAAATCGGCATCAGTCCGGACTAGTACAAGCAGCCACACACACACACGCATACACGTGCATGCACGTCGCTATATAAGTGCAATAATCTTGGACGCGACGTTAAACCCAATTTCACCTCACCTCACCTCCTCATCGACCGTTGTCCCTTCACACATCTAACGTCCTTGCTTATTCATGCTTTAGGTTTGCGCAAACATTTTGTTTACATGCAACATATTTTAACATACAAGGATACCGGTTGTTTATATTTTATGGCATCGATATAAAGTTTAACTCAACTAAAATGTAAATAGAAGAAAATGAAAACCCCAAACCAGGTCTACTCTTTTTAATGTCTATATTGATGTATGTCGTCACGAAGATTGTTTGTGTAAACATCCCGTAGGAATTGAGGAATAGGGATGGTTGGTTGGTTGGGTTGTTGTTTAACGCCGCAATCAGTATTATTACAGCTATATGACGGCGGTCTATAATCCAGTGATTGATACCATGAGCATCGACCCACGCAATTAGGATACGATGACATGCATCAACCAAGTCAGCGAGCCTGACCACCCGATCCCGTTAGTCGCCTCTTACGACAAGCATAGTCGCCTTTTACGGCAAGCATGGGTTACTAAAGACCTATTCTACCCCGGATCTTCACAGGTCGAATAGAGATGGCCCCAACAGCCTGTGCTTGTCGAAAGAGACTTAATGGATCGTGTGGACAGTCTCTGTGATTGCGATGTCGTGGGGGGCTGTGGGGCGTGGTTAATGCTATCAGTCAGTGGTTTTCCTGGCTCTGAAATATTGTGGTGAGGTTTAATTATGTTCAACGTAGTCTCTTGCAGTGCAATACACTGGTTTCTCCATGTCAGTCGGGGCGGTCCGGTTGCCTAGTGGTTAAAGCGTTCGCTCGTCACGCCAAGACCCGGGTTCGATTCCCGACATCATCGGGTACAATGTGTGAAGCCCATTTCTGGTGTCTCCTGCCGTGATATTGCTGGAATATTGCTAAAAGTGGCGAAAACCATACTCTCTCACTCACTCCATGTCAGTCATCCCTGCACAAACACATCCTGGTCTGTCAACCAGCCCACCACAGCAGGAACCAATTCTTGGCCATCGTCAGATGTATGGGCATGCAAGTGTTATTTTGTAATTTTAAAGCAGGTCAAGTCACTAGGGGTTAGACGTGGTGAATACAGAGGATGGGGTAGAATGTCGCGTCTACCACATTCCCCTGCAGCAGCCACTGCAACGTGACTGGTTTCAACAGCAGCACCATCCTGATGATGGAGACCACCACGGCCAAGTTTGCCGCGACGCTTGTCTTTGATAGACTCGCGAGTCTTTTCAATAAGTTGGTATAATATCCACCATTCATAGTTGTTGCCCGCGGTAAACATCCATCTGTGTTGTGTCTTGGCTCTCCCGGTGGTCAGATCTTTCCGAGTGGGTCTCTTTGATCTGAACTTCTTGGTTTGGGGAGACCGGAAGTGTTTCTACTCCGTGGATTCTTGATGCTCTCGGGATCCCAGTGATGGGCGTGGGACTCGTCAAATGTCACTAGCCTAAGATAAAGATGTTCTTGGTTGCGAGAGAGAACCCACCGGGCACAGACATTGGACATATGAGTAGATGTACATGGAGGGTTGTTTCCACTGACCCATCGATAGGATCCTTTACTGTGGTTTGCCTATGCCCCAATGATGATTCTAGTTACATCCGTGCTTCTAGTTATGTCCGCGCTTCTAGTTATGTCCGTGCTTCTAGTTATGTCCGTGCTTCTAGTTATGTTTGTCTGTGCTCCTAGTTATGTCCGTGCTTCTAGTTATGTCCGTGCTTCTAGTTATGTCCGTGCTTCTAGTTACATCCGTGCTTCTAGTTATGTCCGTGCTTCTAGTTATGTCCGTGCTTCTAGTTATGTCCGTGCTTCTAGTTATGTCCGTGCTTCTAGTTATGTCCGTGCTTCTAGTTATGTTTGTCTGTGCTCCTAGTTATGTCTGTCTGTACTTCTAGTTATGTCTGTCTGTGCTTCTAGTTATGTCCGTGCTTCTAGTTCTGATCCTGATCTGAGCGTTAAGTACTCCTCTCTCTCTCTCTCTCTCTCTCTCTCTCTCTCTCTCTCTCTCTCTCTCTCTCTCTCTCTCTCTCTCTCTCTATCTCCTGACATCACATGAATGATTAACTTCACTAATTGCAACTGTGTAAAGGGTAAACCTAACATGATTTCGAAGCTACTTCAATTTTGTAAAGTTTCTAATTTCACAACACAGCTGTGAAAGCAATCGCATGTTAAATTAGTCTAACACCGATACTCGTTTCCTCATCACCCGGACAGAAATAGCGGAGTGATATGAGTAGCAGGGTTGCTGGAGAGTGGCGCTGGTTGTCACGCGACTAACCTTACCGGCATTGGTGATCACGGGATGAAAAGGTCACGGGGGTTCAGGTCAAATGATTGGCCAAAGCACCACATGATGGTCCTAGTGTG